TGTTAGTATGGTTGTATCTTAAATTTGTACATTTATCGTTGTTTTGTGTAGCTATAATTTGTTTATTTGTTTTTTTTTATGACTCCGACTCCGACGCGACGACAACGAAACATAGTCAGGAGGCGTAATCGTGATAACGACCGCAGTTACAGAACAGTGGCGCGTAATAGGCTTATAACTCATAACTCATTTATTGAACCAAAATAACAAATACAAAATTTGCATTGGTCATGTCAATTAATAGCGTAGAACTAAAATTAAAATAAACAATAGACAATGTTGCTTCAATAAAACAATACCAATTACTTCTTTAAAAAAAAAAAAAAAAAAAAAAACTAACTAACTAAACCCATCAGCGACACAATCTCGAACACTGTTAGGCCCCTGAATATGTGGTTTGACCTAGAAATAATTAGAACACAGATGAAACCATTGTTGTTCGATAGTGAAAAGTATTGTGAATAACATATCAAAAGTCTCCAAAAATATCTTTGGTGGAACACCACCATTTTTCCAAAATGGCGGCCAATTCCAGTAGTTTTTTTGCTTTTTATTGAAATTCTGACTTTCCAGTCAATATTGGTGAAAAGTCGTCAATACATTTAATGTTCCTCCGTAAATTACCTTTAAAATGATACCAAATACATGTACCTACAACAAAAAATAAACCCCGTAGAAATAATAAAATATTTCAAGTAAAAATATTTTTTATAAATTAATGTAATAGTCCAAGCAAACTAAAAAAAACCAGACACTGGGATCGTATAAAAATTTGCAAGTAAACATTTTATGGTTTTATTGTTATTGTTTTGGTGTGCAGAGTGACATACCAAAAGTTGCAAAAATCAGTCCACGGGAAACCCCTAAATTAAGGAAAAAATGGCGGCTTTTCCCAATATTGGACAAATTTTGCAACAAAAGATACCACATGTTTTTTTGCACATTTTTCGAGATATTGACTTGGAACCACGACCGATATTTATTGGATGGTCCGTACTTAATTTCAATAGGGAATGCTTTTTGGGCCGCCATCTTAGATCAGCCATATTGGATCTGCCATATTGGATATAAATATTTTTTAATGTAAATATAGTGTTGTGACACATCATTATGAACTAGATTTCCACGCTGATTTCAATGCTGAAATCCGTTTTTAAATACGTTTTTTCGTTGCTTAAGATATATTAAAACGAAAACTCTTCCCTATACATCAGTTATGGACGTATCGTAAGTTACTTTGAAAATGCGTTTGGATTATTTTTCTCCAGGTATTATTATTGCTTGCAGTTCGTTCTAGCCTTAAAATATTCAGTGATAAAAGATCTTTCATTTTAGTTAGCTTTCATTTTGTTTTATTTATAGTTAAAACAGACTAGTTATAAACGAGGTACAAACCCCAACACAAAATTAAATTAAACTTTTTTTATCAGTTTTTGTTAAAATATTTATATCTCGGGTTGTTAATATGTTAACAAGTTCATTCTGGTATCAAAGTACTCAGTAAATGTTTGGCTTTAATTTTATTAATTATTAAATGACACATGACAAATTTAAAACGAATCATGTAGGCCTACCTTCAATGAACTTTTGAATGAATTATTGTTATTTTGAAATTTGTCTTTAGTTAAAGACATTTATCCCCAATTCTAAATAAATCCCAATAAGGAATCCATAGCTAAAATAAAAGTCAATACTTGAACGAATAGCTATGACGAGTTTTTCCCGTTTTCACTCTGGACAACACTACAAAATAAAACCATAAAACGTTTTGTTGAAATTTTTTAAAGGCCATATCCTATATTTATCTAAATATAATTTCCAAGTTACACAGTTACAGTTATATATAAGCTCAGTTATTTATAAGTAAGTTAGTCACATGTACCATCAGTCAAACACCACTTCCAATCTGTTGGATCTGCTGGTGAACTATTTCCACGCCAAACTTGAACCTGATAGTACAACCTTAGACTGTGGTAGTTTTCAATGTGTTTTTAAATTGTCAAAGTACGAAACGTCCATAAGAAATGTATGGGAAGAGTTTTCGTTTTTATATATCTTAAAATCATAAAACGCTATTTAAAAAACTGATTTCAGCATTGACATCAGCATGGGCATCTAGTTCATAATGATGTGTCACAACACTATAATTACATTAAAAAATATTTATATCCAATATGGCAGATCCAAGATGGCGGCCCAAAAAGCGTCCCCTATTGAAATTAAGTACGGACTGTCCAATAAATATCGGTCGTGGTTCCAAGTCAATATCTCGAAAAATGTGCAAAAAAAACATGTGGTATCTTTTGTTGCAAAATTTGTCCAATATTGGGAAAAGCCGCAATTTTTTCCTTAATTTAGGGGTTTCCCGTGGACTGATTTTTTGCAATTTTGGTATGTCACTCTGCACACCACAACAATAAAAATAAAACCATAACATGTTTACTTGCAAATTTTTATACGATCCCTGTGTACGTTATTTTTAGTTTGCTTGGACTATTACATTAATTTATAAAAAATATTTTTACTTGAAATATTTTATTATTTCTACGGGGTTTATTTTTTGTTGTAGGGACATGTATTTGGTATCATTTTAAAGGTAATTTCAGGAGGAACATTAAATGTATTGACGACTTTTCACCAATATTGACTGGAAAGTCAGAATTTCAATAAAAAGCAAAAAACTACTGGATTTGGCCACCATTTTGGAAAAATGGTGGTGTTCCACCAAAGATATTTTTGGAGACTTTTGATATGTTATTCACAATACTTTTCACTATCGAACAACAATGGTTTCATCTGTGTTCTAATTATTTCTAGGTTTTGCTATTTATTTTCTTATTTTAAGGCGCCTATGTAGTTAACCCTTGGCCAAAAGTATTTTTTTGATTTGCTTTTTAAAGCTGTTCAAGTCCGACTCCAGCTGAAGGGAGGGAGGGAGATTAAAAAGTTTAATGCCATTGTAATGAAAGTGTCTCTTGAAAAATGTAGTTGAATGAGATGGCAATTTAAGATGAGAATTGTTACGTAGTGAATAGGAATGTGTAAGTAAAGATTGGTATTGGTATAAGTTTTTTTAATGAGAATCAAAGTTTCCAAAATGTATATTGAGGGAAATGTTAAAATTTGGGATGAAATAAAGTATTGCCTGCAAGATGTTCTTCTTTTCAAACCAAAGACTGCCCTAACTGCCCTCTTCTGGAGTCGGAAAAGGAAAGACGTTTTCCCACACTCACACACTCACACCCCCACACCGCGTATATCAGGTGCGGGAAAATCACTCCATAATATGCTATAATTAGAACATCACATTTTGCAAACTTAGAAAGTTGGCGGGGAAGAAAGATTCCCGAAGAAATCCTTCTACACACAGTGTCAAATATGGGAATGAAAGCGCAGGTTTTGTATCGAGCACCAATCTCAAGAACTTAACCTGATCAGTTGCCTCGAGCTAAACATCATTCAAAAGGAAATTGTTTTGTTTTTACCAGCTGAACTTATAGAAAAATTTACAAATTCAGTTTTTCTGGCATTTAGACTCAATGAGTTGTCCTCGAACCACTGCATCATGGAGCTCGCTTGCAAAAAGGCCTTTATTTCGAGTTCATCGAAATTTTGATCAGAAACCGAGAGCGACGTATCATCAGCAAACAGACAAATGTTTCCAGAATTTACAATTGATGGAAGATCATTCACAAAGACAAGGAACAACACCGGACCGAGGACTGACCCCTGAGGCACGCCACGAGCAGACTCGCAATGGGGTGAGCGGTAGGTATTCAGATATCCTAAGTCATCCACCGCCTGAATCATCACAAACTGATGCTTCCGTCCTGTAATGAATGACTTAAACCATTGCAGTGCCAGCCTTCGCACTCCAAGACAAGAAAGCTTATCAAGAAGCAATGCGTGATCCCAATGCTTAACTCATCACAGTCAGCACCTGACCCTGGACAATCTCAACTATTACGTTACAAATGCGCCCTACCCCAAAACGACTTTTCGTTCTCAATTGGCCCTCTATCAATTAATTACCTGTGTTGCCTGTACAGCGAGACATTTTGAGAAGGAGAAAACCGGCCGGAATGCTTTAGGTTTATCAATAACGAAGGTAAACATGGCCATGATCTGAGTTACACAACGGTAATCTTTGAGTTGACTCTTTAAAACTCATTGTAAATGTGACTGTTATTCGTTTTGAAATAACTCCTGTAATACTTTGCAATTGCTCGAATTCGAGCAACATGTGCACTGTTATAGTAAATTTCAAAATTAACACAATTTACATCTTGCGTAAAAAATCCTCACTAGTCCTATGAATAAAAGTACTAAGTACAGTAGGCGTATCAGTGACCGTTTGTATTGTATTTCATACATACACGTTGAAAGTTTATACTTGCAACAACAAACGATTTTTGATGTGACATTGAACGTTTTTTGTATGTGATGATTCTTAAAAGTATTTTTTGAGAAAAGTCAGTAGCTTTATGGTTTGAAAGTGGACTAGGGATGAGCATCGATAGGTCAACCATCTATGTTCACCATTGATGGTAACATCGACGTCAACCATCGATGTACCGATAACATCGTTGCGAAAACATCGATGTTTTTGGGACTAAAACATCAAAATTTATTTTGTTTATCTTCCGCTTTTTGTACTATCCAGTAATGGAAAACACCGATATCTCAATACTTGGCCAAAAACATCGGTAACCTATCATCGACGTAAAAAGCATCGAACATCAATAGAAAAACATCGATGTTACGAAAACATCGACTATCGATGCTCATCCCTTAACTGGTCCCAGCTGTCCCTGATCATTGAGCTTTAAATAATGATCCTAGCTAATGAAACAGCTGATCTTAGTCAGTAACAGGTGCAGATCATCTCACTCCATCCTCCAATCATATTTGGGGGGACGCACCTAGGGTGCATCCCCATCGTAATTGATGATGATTTAATTGATCTATCTACGCTATCTAACAGATATATGATGTTGCAGCGGTCTGCCAGATACAGTGTTTCTGGGGCTGGGTCGCACCGAGTTCCTCAGTCTGGCTGACAACAGCTTGCCTGTCGTCCCTCATCACATTCTGCGGCTGATGCCCATCATCAAGACTCTGGACATGAGCAGGTGCAAGATCACAACTCTCAGAGGCCGCGACTTCCAGGTAGGATCGATATCTTTGTTTCCGTATAATACTTTTCACTTTATATGAAAAAAAAGATCATTGGTTTTGTTCACTACCTAGTGTTTGGAGACTCTATGGGGAGTGTGACAGCCAGTGGTGAACCTGTTAATGATAAAATAATTTAATGGGAATAATTAGTTTGCAAGATATGTTCTGACGTCAAGACTATTCAGTGGGTTGTTTCATATAATACTGAACACATTGTGAATGTGAAATATAAGCTAAATGCGGACAATTCATTCTTGTTTCTGAGTGACCACAAAATAAAGTACTGACAGGATTCTGTTGTTTGCTTTTATAAGTTCTGATGACCATAATAATCGTGCATAATTCTAGTTTATGTCAGTGTTCACCAGAGCCGGCCTTAGGCACAGGGGGGGGGGGGGGGGTGCCGCATAGATCTCGAGGGCCCACAATACAAGTAAAAAAATTTTTCTGTCATTTATTAAAAAAAATGGGAGGAACACTAATATTATGCATTAAAAATTTTGTTGGTTTATTGTTGAGATACTGCTTTTTTTGGTAGTAAGGGGCTCCTCTCTGAATGATTACACTGGGCCCCGCACCATACCCAAGACCGGCTCTGGTGTTCACTGTAATAAGCTGGGGTAATTGTACCGCTACATTATTCTGAACCTGAAACTGGTAACACATGTATCAGCTGTTTTCCTATACAAACATATGAAATAAATGTTTTCCAAGCTGATCTGATGAAAAACTGCTGTGGTCATCTTGTAAAGTTTTTCAAACAGTTTGTTTCAATAAAGATACCCTTAGGATGTTAAGTAGTAAAGTATACAAATAAATATAATCTTAACTCTTAATATAGGTAGTTAAAAAACACACTTTGATTAGTCTCATCATCCCTTCTCTAAGTCAAACCATTGACTTTAAATTCTTTAGAACAAAAATTTTAAAACCCAGACACAAATATCCGTTGGAGGTTGTTGGAGGAATGTGTTGTGCTTAAGCAGGTGTTCTATTTATACAGGGTATCCTGTAAGTAAATACAAAGAAATGAGTAATAGGTTTATTGAGTCAAAATAATGTGAAGTTATAAGCCCTTTAGATTTCATATTATCATGGTTGGTGACATAACTGGTAGCTCAATTAGTCTATTGTTCTGTTATGTGTTTACAATATTTCAGAATCTGCCTCTTTTAAGGATTCTTCTCCTCGCGTCTAACGCTGTATCTCGCATGGATAACAATACATTCCCTGAGTCCCTGACAAAACTTCACTTGGCTCGAAACTCTTTGACTACTTTAAATGGGACTTTAAGGTAATTGTTATTAAGATACATAGAGAAAAAAGAGAGCTATTATTATATTTACTGTAAACAACAGCAAAATCTATATGCAGATATCTTTACTCCATAATCTCATACAGAAATAATTTAAATCTGTGTTCAACAAAGGGTGTTGTTTTTAAGTGGTAGTTCAGGTATAATTGTTTTAAAAGTGCATTTACAAAGCTATTTTCTGTTTTTCAAAAACTTGTGTCCGGCTATTGCATGTTATCCTGAATGGTGATTTATTAATTGTGTTATTTAGATGTGTCCTTAAAAATGTTGTACCGTACTAAACTTTTTCAATAGTCATCACTCTTGAAGAATCAAACGTAATACTGTAGTTTATTATAAATGAAACTAAATATCAATATTTTGGCAATTTTGTAAAAGAGAAGTAGTGTTTGCAATAGTATGTTAATGGCATTGCTACAATGACATTGTTAATGACATTGGTACAAGACAGGTAACCAAAAAAGCCTAAATTAAATTTCAAATTCATTTTTTGTGCTTATTTTTGAGTCTATTTGAATTTATAAAGGGATTCTGCACATACACAGGAAAATATCTTTTTAACAGTATGATAGTTTCCCTGCGATGCACACGAGCCGAGAAAAGAGGTTTTAAAGAAACATGCTAGCCTAATAAAGGCTATAGATAGATTCCTTTTCAGACCAAGTTTAAAATGGAGATGTTATTCAAACAAAAGAGAATCAATTTGGATTTCATGCTTGAAGGTTAAGATTGCATGAAAATTAATTGATATTGAAATCTCTTCTCAGGCCATCACAAAGTTCAATTTTAATCTGGAAGGTCACTAACACATTATCTTCTTTTTTATCAATGACTTAAATTTTCACAATTTTTATGCTACTGAAATGTATTGTTATAGTATGTTTGATGAATAAGGTTTTGGATTAAATTAATTAAATTTGAATTGCGTTTTGTTAATATTTTAAGTGTTAACCTTAACATTGTGTTAACCTCATTGGAGACTATAGGAAAATGAAAGAATGTTTTGTCATCCAACAGAAACCTGGCGGGGCTGGAATGGCTTTTCATCAACGAGAATGATCTTTCTTCTCTAGATGGCGAGTTGCCTGAAATGATTCCCAACTCCAAACTCGCTCTTCTCGACGTTTCCTACAACAGACTCGAACGACTTCCGCAGGAGCTGCGACATTTCCAAGCACTTAACGTTCTCTTTGCTCACGACAACCAGATAACGGCTCTGAATGGAGCTCTCTCCAAGAACCGGAGATTGGAGAGGCTTCATCTTGACAAAAATAATTTGACAACGGTAAGAGGAATGTACGAAACGGCTACACAAGGAATTCTAATATCTATGTCAGTTTTATTCAAGCAACTTAATCAGAATCTAGTGATGAATAAAGTTTTTCCACGAATTAGCTTTTGTAATATTGAAACACCAATAAGACTTAATTGTGTCTTTGACATTGTTGAATTTCTAGAATTTGAGGAATTGGAACAACCATGGTAAGGCCCTCAACTCCATAATTAGTTATACTTTAGCTCAACTTTACACATTAACAATAGTTAGCACAGTGAGTATATTTTTTGGAGAAAAAAATAGTTTCAAACCTATAATTATTCCTTTTAGAGATAGGTAAGAAAACACTGTTCCTTTGCAGCATTCTCTCTTAAATGAAGCTCTGCTTCACCAAGGCCCCACTAGAAAAACAGACCATGCAGCGTGGGTAATGCAACACTACGTCACAGTGGTGGATAGTTCTACTAAAGTTGCCAGGCGTAAACAGCCATCAGATATGGCAGTGAATATATCCACAAGTGTGACGTCATGGATCCTGCAGCCTGCAGCATGACCTGTTTTTCTAGTGGGGCTTTGGCTTCACACAACAATTTTATTTACTTTAAAGATAGAACTAAAACAATTAAAATTTTTAAGTAACTCGTTTACAAATTATCGACTGATCCAGACAATCTGTGCAGCTCGCTCCAGACGACTTTGCAGAAGTTGAAGCTCTTGAGTTCTTGAAGCTTAGCTACAATCAGCTGACCTCCCTGAATTCTTCGTTGCTTCCTCTGCGCTCACTGAGACTACTCAACCTCACTCACAACTACCTAGAGGAGTTCTCACTCCAGGACATCAGAGGTCTGAGACACCTCACCATCGTAGACATCTCTCACAACAAGATCTCTCGTCTTGGCGGACGAATGGAGGTCAGTCTTAGTTAGAAATATCATCATAAAGGGTTTATATTGTAAAGAGAAATTGTTTGAAAGTGTTTTCAAGTAGGCACTGTGCCGAAGGAATTGTTGCTTAAGGAAGGGCAGTTGTGTAAGATGTGACAATGATGAGATGTGTGGGAGGGGAGGCTGAATCCCAATGGAAAATTGGAACAAAACCAAGACCATGCCTTGGGTCCAGACTGTGGGTTAAATTGTTCTCAATTGAGCTGCAAACTCCTTAGTTTGAGTTTTCATTAAAGTAATTTTTAGCATCATCTAAACAACCCTACTTTTGGGTAGTTGTACTTGTTTGTGTTATTGTCAATGTTTGTGGGACACAAGTAAAGTTTGCTTCGTAAGAAACTTTTGTGGTAGGTTGGTGGACTGTCTCCAACATAATTGTGTATAATTCAAGGTTAGATTGAATAGAAAAGTAATTACTGCCACATCGAGTAGGTACAAGACAAAAATTATCACTTCTGTTGTATATTATTATATCTGTTAGTCTGGACTCATTAATTAATTTTATTTCTATTTACAGCTGATGTAATATTTTCAATTCTAAGTTTGAGAAATGAATAAAAACAAGACATTATTTTTAGTTCTTACAATTATGTGTTATAATTATTTAATTCAATAAGTACGTAACAATGGCGACTCAGAGGTGAAAATAAAAAGATTAGGCATTAATTACAAGCTTGAAGAGAACAGGACATTCTAAATGGATAATCAAGAAGTGACTGAACATAACAAAGCAATATTGGAAACATTACAAGCCCAGACTGCTGCTCTTGCCCATTTAGTAAGACAACTTGCAAGTCATAGACCAGAAAACAATGGGGAAGACAGTAAAGTCACAACACCTATCTTAAATTCTTCTGTAACCTTTGAATCTTTTAATGAAAAGTGGAAACATTCAAATCTTATAAAGAGAGATTAGAAAACTTCTTTGAACTGAAAAAGTTACATGGAGAGTCAAATGAAATCAAGGAAACAAAAGCAAGAATATTGATAAATGCACTCGGTGCTAAATATTATTCCCTTCTATCAAGTTTAACAGCACCTGACCTTCCTTCAAAAGACTATGAAACCTTGACTGATTTACTGGGGAAACAGCTCTGTCCACAGACAAATGTTCTCACAGAACGACACAAATTTTTATCAAGGGAACAAGGTACTAATGAATCAATTTCTCAGTACATTACAGTTTTAAAACAACTATCTATATCTTCAAAATGGAATTGCCAAGAAAAAAATTGTGGGAAACCAGTAAATAGCATTTTACAAGCCCAATTTATTCGTGGACTTCGTGACAGTGAAATTAGGGAACAGATTCTCCAGCAAGGAAACGAAATCAGTTTTGAAAAAGCAGTTGAAATTTCACTAGCAATTGAAGCTGCTAAAATACAAAACAAGTTATACAGTACCGATACAGATGTTAAACAAATTTCTAAATCCAGATCATCGAAAATTGTGTCTCGTTTCGATTCTATGAGAAATAAAGCTAGAAAAAGCCAACAATCATCTAGAAACTTCAAGAGAAGAAGTCTGCTTACAGAACTTGGATTAGAAAATACGTGTTTACGCTGTGGGAAGAATAATCACAAAGCATCAGATTGTAGATCCAAGAACCTTTATTGCAAATCTTGTAATAAGCAAGGCCACATAGAGAAAGTCTGCATTTCATCTCTTATAAGGCAGCCAATAAAGCAAGTACAAGAATCAGAATCTGAAAGAAGCGACGTAGATTCTGAATATTACTGCAATCAGGTAAAAACTGTACCTATTCATTACAATTTAGGTGAACCTCGAGACGATCCTTTTGTAGTCACAGTCAAGGTTGGTGGAAGCTCAAAACAATTTGAAATTGATTCTGGCAGTCAAGTTACTATAGTATCATTAACTGATTTTCAAAGTTTGAAACTGAATTGTGAGTTGAAACCATCAAATGTAAGGTTTCGTTCATATACAAATCAATCTTTTTCACCAATAGGCGTAGCAAGGGTACCAATTTCATTCAAACAGATTAAAACTCACGGTAATTTGTATGTTGTAAAAGGGAACTACACTCCTATATTAGGTAGAGACTGGATTAGAAAACTAAACGTACAAGTATCAGCGGTTAATTTAATAAATACTGGTAACCGTTTGGACCCAGACAAGAATAATATCGAATCAATCAAAACTGAACTCTTAAACAAGTACAAAGATGTATTTCAATCAAATATAGGTGTCATTCCAAATTGTTCGTTAAAACTGAAAGAAAATGCAAAACCCATATTTATGAAGCCTAGACCTATTCCTTATGCCTTGCTAGACAAAACTAAAAGAGAAATACAATCCTTAGTTGATCAAGGGGTCCTAGAAAAAGTTGATCACTCGGCGTGGGGTACTCCACTAGTTATTGTTCCTAAGCCAGATCAATCTGTAAGGATCTGTGCAGATTATAAAATTACACTAAACCCTCAACTAGAAGATACTCAATATCCTATTCCCAGAATCGAAGATCTTTTAAATAAATTAAATGGAGGAAAATACTTCTGTGTTTTAGATCTGCATAAAGCTTATTTACATGTACAGTTAGAAGAAGAAAGTCAAAACTATGCTGCAGTTTCCACTCCATGGGGAACTTACAAAGCAAAACGACTCTTTATGGGTATCACAAATGCACCAAAAGAGTTTCACAAAATCATTGACCAGGTAGTATCTAACTTAGATGGAACTATTGCATATTTTGACGACTTTCTTATTCAAGGGCATTCTTTTGAAGAGTGCTATCAAAGACTAGAAATGTGTCTCCAGACGTTGAGGAAATATGGTTTACATGTAAACATGAATAAGTGCAAATTGTTTCAATCTGAAATAAATTACCTCGGACATCGTATAACAAGTCAAGGTGTCACTAAATGTCAAAATAAAATAGAAGCTGTTACAAAAGCACCTCGTCCAACTAATGTAGAGGAAGTTAGATCATTTCTCGGGTTGGCACTGTACTATGCGAAGTTCATTCCAAATGCATCTTCAATAATTCATCCATTAACTCAGCTTCTAAAGAAAGATGTTAAGTTCAAAAGGAATAACAAATGTGAAAACGCTTTCAATCAAATCAAAGAAGAAATCACAAGTGAAAGAGTGTTGACTCCATTCAATCCGGACTATCCTGTTACGTTAGCTACGGATGCAGGACCTACTGGTCTTTCAGCAGTACTGTCCCATGTCATAAATGGTCAAGAAAAACCCATCGCATTTGCTTCCAGATCCTTAACTAAAAGTGAAGCGGCTTATAGTCAACTTGACAAAGAAGCCACTGCTGTGTATTGGGGTATTAAGAGATTTTATCAGTATCTTTACGGCAGAAAATTTATATTGATTGTAGATAACAAGCCACTTCAACAAATATTCAATCCAAGGAAAGCCATGCCAGTCATCTCAGCACATCGATTATTAAGGTACGCCCAATTCTTAAGTGCATTCGATTACGAAATCAAACAGAGACCATCAAAAGAACATACAAATGCAGACTACTTTTCTCAAAATCCAATTCCTCTGGATGTAAAGTTGGTGAACTTCCTTGAAGACTCATACAAGGTAAATCAGACAACTCTTGACATGATTACAGACACCTCAGCTATTACCGCAGACACAATCAGATTAGAGACAAATAGAGACCATGAATTACAAAGCCTTAAAAGAAAGCTTCTTGAAGGAGAAATAAAAAATCCAGAATTCACCCTTCATTCCGGTATTATTATGCGAGGGTCAAGGGTTTACATCCCTAAAACACTTCAACCAACAGTACTAAAAGAATTACATTCATCTCACATTGGAATAGTGAAAATGAAGAGCATTGCTAGATCATTATGTTATTGGCCTGGCATAGATGCTGCAATCGAAAGCATGGTAAAATCATGTAAAAGCTGTGCTGAAGTAAAAAAACAATCCAGTCAAAGCCCCTCCTCACATTTGGGAAGAACCTCAAGAAAACTGGCAAAGGATTCACGTAGATTATGCCGGCCCTTTCAAAAATCACTATTTCTTTGTGGTTGTAGATGCCAAATCAAAGTGGCTGGAAGTAAAAATGTCCTCAAAAGCCCCTACCTCAATAACAACAATACATGCACTGGATGACCTATTTTCTCGATATGGACTTCCTTACACCATTGTTTCTGACAATGCTTCTATATTCAAGTCTGATGAGTTCACTAAATTCTGTCAGGATAACGGGATAATACAACGTTTCTGTGCACCAAACCATCCTGCAACAAACGGTCTGGCTGAGCAATCAGTACAAAACTTGAAACAAAAACTCAAAGCAATGACTGAAGATACAGGAAGTCTGATGGAAAAGCTGAATCTTTTCTTATTTAAGTACCGCTCAAGCCCTCTTAACAATGGTAAAACGCCTGCAGAACTATTTATGAACAGGACTATACGTACTAGGTTACATCTCATACGTCCTATGGGAAATATAACAAGAAAAATACCTGATGATCATTCTGCCAAAATAAGATTACTAAATCCAGGAGATAGAGTTCAAGCCAGAAACTATGTAGGATCTACACAGTGGAAATTTGGTACAGTTTTACAACGTTTGGGAAAACTTCATTATCTATCTATATATTAATAGGCAAGCATGTTTCTTTAAAACCTTTTTTCTCAGCTCGTGTGCATCGCAGGGGAAATCTACGCATACTGTTAGAAAGATATTTGCCTGTAGATGTGCAGAATCCCTTTATAAATTAAAATAGTCTAAAAAAAAGCACAAAAAACGAATTTGAAAACTTAAAAAAATTAACATGGACCAACTGGGTTGCCATGATGGTGACGAAATAACAACAAAATGTAAACAGAAAATCAAAACAAATGGAAGAAATCCCAATCACATGTTTTATTTACAGTGTGGGGAGAAAATAGAGAAGTCTGTACATTAATTATTTTTGGTCGAGTTTCGACCACAGGACGACCACTAGTATCATCTTATTAGACAATCGAAACAAAATAAAGAGACATATTAACCAGCTCAGAAAAACACAGGTTGAAGCTAGTGGGTTGTCAAAAACACCAAGATATTTTCATAGATACCAAGAAGCAACCCAAATCATACCAAGTCAAACAAATGTTTGTAGCTCTCCAAATGTCTTGCCATGGAACACGCCTTTAGGGGATCCTGCACCATCAAGTCCCTTTTCTCCTCAAATCTTACCTCAGCCTCCAATGAATTCCTCAGAGATAACCACATCTGGATCAAACATGGATTACACAGTGTCAGAGCCACCTGTAGGTGCTAACCAACAAAACATGGAAGAACCTTCAGCATATATTGAAAATATTGTAGAATCACCGGTTCATAACCAACCACCATTGCAGTTAAGACGATCTTCGAGAATAAGGAATTTTAAGAAATGTAGTTGTTGCAAGTGAATGATGAACTAACGTTGAAGTCAAGTGGGGGAGAACTGTTGTATATTATTATATCTGTTAATGGACTCATTAATTAATTTTATTTCTATTTACAGCTGATGTAATATTTTCAATTCTAAGTTTGAGAAATGAATAAAAACAAGACATTATTTTTAGTTCTTACAATTATGTGTTATAATTATTTAATTCAATAAGTACGTAACAACTTCCTTTCCTACATATTAATAATTCAAGACTAAATTATATGGATGTAGCACTGAATTAACAGTAAGCCAGTATTACAAGGGTGGATGTCGTTTGTGTCATAGATCACCTACTTTTCAAATAAAAAAGAGCTAGTATAATGTGACACCACTGTCAGATTATTTAAGTGTGATAGAGCTGAGACTGGACCACAACAAACTAGAGGACCTGGGTGGGGCTCTGATGGGACTCAACAATCTACAGCAACTCAACCTTAGTCACTAACATCTCCATTGTTGTCCACAGAACCTTGTAGAGCTAGAGACACGTGTGATAGAGCTGAGACTGGACCACAACAAACTAGAGGCTTTGAGTCAATGCTAGAGGACCTGGGTGGGGCTCTGATGGGACTCAACAGTCTACAGTGACTCAACCTCAGTCACTAACATCTCCATTATTGTCCACAGAACCTTGTAGAGCTAGAGACACGTGTGATAGAGCTGAGACTGGACCACAACAAACTAGAGGCTTTGAGTCAATGCTAGAGGACCTGGGTGGGGCTCTGATGGGACTCAACAGTCTACAGTGACTCAACCTCAGTCACTAACATCTCCATTATTGTCCACAGAACCTTGTAGAGCTAGAGACACGTGTGATAGAGCTGAGACTGGACCACAACAAACTAGAGGCTTTGAGTCAATGCTAGAGGACCTGGGTGGGGCTCTGATGGGACTCAACAGTCTACAGCAACTCAACCTCAGTCACTAACATCTCCATTGTTGTCCACAGAACCTTGTAGAACTAGAGACACGTGTGATAGAGCTGAGACTGGACCACAACAAACTAGATGACCTGGGTGGGGCTCTGATGGGACTCAACAGTCTACAGCAACTCAACCTCAGTCACTAACATCTCCATTGTTGTCCACAGAACCTTGTAGAGCTAGAGACACGTGTGATAGAGCTGAGACTGGACCACAACAAACTAGAGGACCTGGGTGGGGCTCTGATGGGACTCAACAGTCTACAGCAACTCAACCTCAGTCACTAACATCTCCATTGTTGTCCACAGAACCTTGTAGAACTAGAGACACGTGTGATAGAGCTGAGACTGGACCACAACAGGCTAGAGGACCTGGGTGGGGCTCTGATGGGACTCAACAGTCTACAGCAACTCAACCTCAGTCACTAACATCTCCATTGTTGTCCACAGAACCTTGTAGAACTAGAGACACGTGTGATAGAGCTGAGACTGGACCACAACAGGCTAGAGGACCTGGGTGGGGCTCTGATGGGACTCAACAGTCTACAGCAACTCAACCTCAGTCACTAACATCTCCATTGTTGTCCACAGAACCTTGTAGAGCTAGAGACACGTGTGATAGAGCTGAGACTGGACCACAACAGGCTAGAGGACCTGGGCGGGGCTCTGATGGGACTCAACAGTCTACAGCGACTCAACCTCAGTCATAACCGGCTCACTCACATTTCTCCAGACGATCTCATCGGACTAGACAACCTCAAGATCCTGGACGTGTCTTTCAACCTACTTACAACCCTTGAGGAAACTTCCAAGGTATGTCTAGTGGATGAAGGAATTTCAGTATGTCAATAAATTGATGATACAGTAACTACTAAACCAGACTTGGAATTGGTTTTATTTATCTAAATCTGGTTCTATTCCACAGAAGTTTGCTGAAACAATTTTTTTTTTGGGGGGGGGGGGTTAGTACTTCTCCTACATTTTTAGACCTGTTGGTCTTAGTTGACACATCCATTATTATCTTAAGCTTAATTTATTCACTGATTTAATCATTATCCTGTTCCACCCCTCTGGTCCGGTAGCTTGTAACAGGGTGCAACACATTATTCCAACCCTGGAACTGGACGATCATTTCAGAGTGTTCTCGTTTACAGACTTTTCTACCGTCCCTGGAGGAGCTGATTGCAACTAACAATCAGCTGATTGCGCTTGAGCGAGACTTCCACGGTCTGCCTGTGCTCTGCTGGGCCGACCTAAGCTACAATCATATCCGACTCATCAGCAAAGAATTGGTGGAGAAAACTCAATGTCAGCTGCATGGCGTCAACAGGACCCTCAACATCTATCTGAATGGTGAGTGACCAATAGCAGGGCTTTTATTACTATGTGCAAGGAAGAACATTGGTATCTTATATTTCGCCAATCCAAGAAAACGTAAATGCAGGCCTAGTCCGACCACCCAAGTTTCTCTCTAAATGTTATGGCCGTAAAATATGACAATTTTTTACAATATTTAGTAAGATATTTACAATTCCCAATGTGTATGCAGCTAGGATTTTATAATTTCTAAAATGCATCAAACTTTTGTTCCAGAAAACCCAGTTTTATGTGATGACAACATGATGGCAACGATAAAAGTGATGGAAGAGAAGAATACGACCAAAGTGTTCGGCAAGGTGGACTGCGTAGTGGAAGTCAACAACACAGTTCCGATGGCAATGCCGATGATGCCTCTGGCAGTATAGGACACGACTGTGGCAGCTTAGAATACTTTTACTTACTCTCCTGGCTTCACAAGACAAGCGGAAAATAGAGGGCATTTACCGATTTTGAGGTTACCATCACGTGGTGTGAGCGCTAGCAGACCAAGCTTTATAAGAACTTAGTATAAAAACGTTAGACTTTTATCGTATTACATATTTTAGAGTAGCGATTTATCCTGTATTAAATATCTCGTAAATGCTGTGAGGTAGAATATTTGTAAGTGTTTAGATTGTATTAATCTTTTTTTTTATAAACTTTTTATCTAGCGTAGGAAACGGTAGTAAAATTAGTTGTTAAGTGTGAAAAGTCATTATAATCTTAGATTTGATAGGAATGTTGAACAATTGAAAGCAATGTAAATGACAGTGTGAATAGTTAGTGAATAAATAAATATATTTATTTTTAATAAGATTTCAATTCTTCTCACCTTTAGACAACTTGTTTTTCTCTGATAGTTAAAATTGTAGGCTGAAAATTTTTACATTTAATTGTATTATGTATTTTTACTATTTTTGTATGTAGATGTATTGTTTGACTGTATGAAACCTCATATTTCACTCATGTTCCCTTTGAAATCGATATTAACCCTATCAGGTACTATTTAGTATCAACTTTGAATCGACAAATAGTACTTGAATAAAATCTTAATCTAGATTCCTTTGGTAAATAGTGCCAAAAAATCACTTAAAATATTCTTAGTAAATAAAAGATTCATTACATAAAATGTAAATAATTTGTCAATAATAAGTTCTTAAACACATGCATAGATTTCTACATCAAATACATTTCCCTTGTTAGAATGTAATCACAACATAGATAAATACTTTATTTTAACGAAACAGTGAAAAAGTATTATGACAGCAACAGAGCATACATTTAAAAAAATTTGGATTGTAATGTCAATATATTTTACTAATTAAAAGTTATTGGATTGGGAAGAAAGGGTCGATAAACTAACACCATATTTTAAATCCGAGTTATATAAACCTTTATTATCTATAGGTAACAATTAATTTACAGTATTTTCTACATCTACAATAAATTACTAAAACCAAAGTATTAGTGTTAGTTTAATCGTTAAGCTCAATCGATTTTCTACATTGCACATAGTTTGGTTTTAATAAAAGGCTTTGTGAAAGTAAATTTGTAACAGTATGTAAGACATTTGTTTACAAATTTTAATTTCTGAAAACAACTAAAAATCCGAGAGATTCCAGAGAAAAAAAAACCGAACAATCTGAGTGAAGAAAAAATATAACAATTTCAAAATGAACAATCCAGCATTAAGTTTTAAGCGCTAGTTTTTAACTTAAAACACTTAGGGGAAAAGAAATATTACAAAATAAAATATAAATACTGCCATGGGTAGTCAACCGTATGCGACACTGATATAAGACGAAGCCAAGTTCCAAAATGAATAAAAACAGAGAGGTTTAAGGAGTAACTATAAGAAGGATATAAAATTATTCACAGAAGATTAAAAAGAAATATTCATAGAAGAATTTTGAAACTTTTAATGTATTGTTCATTAATAGTATACATAAGTAAACAATGTAGTTCAAATTTAACTGAATGAATATTGAAAATACACATATTAACAGATCAACAATTCATGAAAAAATTAATATTTTATTCTTGTTTTCTGGTAAGATTTTAATAGTTTGTCTACTTTTCACACACAAATTTTGGTATATTAAAGCAATAGATGAAAAAATTAATATTTTATTCTTGTTTTCTGGTAAGATTTTAATAGTTTGACTAACTTTTCACACACAAATTTTGGTATATTAAAGCAATAGATGAGTTTTTGCGATTGTAAATTCATCATATCGTTGTGATTGTGTGGGATTCAGCGATTCAGGAATAGGTATGTGATCCAAGGGCCTGACGTATCAAGAGTAAACAATTTCTTGATATACCTGGTCAGTCTAAAAGTGTGAATGGAACCAAACTTCATCAGTGTCTTTAATTTAGCTTTGTGAAAATTCTTTATTTAGTCTGACTAATTTAAACCTTTTGCAGACTAACTAAAGTACATTTGATGCAAACTATGTATTTCTGGTGGCTATAATATAGTCTTTCGATATATATATTTATATACAAACGGGATTTATATTTCGGTTTAAGTATATACATTGTGTAAAATAAAAATATACAGAACTAAAAATAAAACTCTGATAAAAACCGACAACAAATAATAGTGTTACAGCTTAAAATTACAATATCACAAGCGGTTTATCCGTCAAGCTCTGGAGTTTCCATTTCAACATGGCCGTCCTCCTTGAACTTGCGGCAGTGCTCGAGCACTAGGTGGGCCAATTCCTTTGTCTTCTCATACGGACTGTCGTCCAAAATCAACTCCTTCAGGATCTCAACACCCCCCTCTGCTTCAACCAGCGTACAGTACTTGTCCGCTGAAAGAAAAAACCTTGAACTTGTATCTAGTATTTGCACTTAAAAATTATGATTACAATAAGCTGAAGGAGCATTATTTTCGAGGACCACTTTGAAAACAATATAAATACAGTGTAAAGTATTATTGTTAGACAACATAGTTGAGTGGTGCAAAAATACAAAAGATTCACAACCGAGAAAAAAATAATGCTTAATTTTATGTAAATCTCTGCTTGTAAAGCTTAAATACCACTAGCAAGACAACAGTAGTTATTTGTGTAACTAGTGTGCGAAATGGCACTTTGCTGCACTTTTTTCTCGAGTGCATCAAAGGCACTTTGAGCTCGTGTTACACCTACAGTTACTATAAAGCATAAAAATAATTTGTCTTTCAAACACTAAACAACTCGTTTTAGGTTAGGTTAAGTCCAAGCGTTGAACAAAATGGGAAACACTGCACCAGCTGATCGTTGAAGTGTTGCCAAATTATTTTCAAGCATACACGTATTAGCCTAATAAAAGCACATGGTTTTGTTTTGTTTTGTCGGAATACTGGAGTGCGGCAAAAGTAAGTAAATGCAGCAATTAGCTACTTTCTGTGTTAATCGGTAAAAGAAATCCCAAGCTGTCAGGTAACTGTAGGAAAAATAGATTTGTACTCGGTATTTTATGTCACTTTAACCAACTTTTTTTGTAGATATAAAAAATCAGCACAATATGAAGAGATGTGTCAATTGCAATAGGACTAATAAGAGATCTCACTAATCACTATCTCATTTGCTAAAAATAACCAATTAAGTGAAAGTTTTGGGCAAAATCAACACGTTCCAAAATTAATTTTTCACACAATATTACATCCCTATTGCCCTAAATGCAAAAATGGTAGCGGAATTTTGAAAAGTCTCTATTGTGAGTAGGCCTGCTTAAAATGTGCATCTTTTGAGTTTGGCACAATAGTAGTTTAATAATTTGTAATATGATAAATTTTAGTTTTAGAGAAAGTAATGCCATATTAAACCTTAAATAGACCTTTTATTCGAGCAGTTCAGTGTTAGTGCAGGTTGGTGCGGGTTTTCAACACTGCCAAAATATTTTACGACTGACCCCAAAGGGTCAATGGTACAAAAGTAAGGAAAACAAGCTGGACTAGTGTTGCAGGACTTCAATCCCTAAGGTACTGGGTTCAAATCTTGCCAATCACTTGTGGATTTAATCTAAGTGATAATGCTGCGACCTCTAGGCCTAGCCGGTCTAGAGCAGGTACTTACGATAGACCTTGGTGAGATTAGCCAGAGCCCAGACAGCCCAGTGTTGACATTGCGGAGTGTGCCTTACTCTGGCTAGTTGCAGGATCGGCTCAAAGCTACGGTAGTTGATGTTCCTCTCTGTTTCCAGACTCCACTTGTCGATTGCCACCACCATGTTGGACAACACAACTTCTCTGTCGGGACATCCCTTCCTCCACGCAGCCTCGCCGTCTGACGCCAGGTGTGACAACACGCCAGCCGCGTTGTAACTCACCTGCGTTTTTTTTTTAAGGAACAACTCTAGGTCAATATTGTGATTTTACTGGTCTTTTAAATTTATTGGCTGAGGCAAGAATTTAAATTTGTGTAAGAAACGACAGCATTGAAAACTAGGGATGGACAGGTCCAGAAGATATTTTTATTTTACAATTTTTGGGAAAATATATTTCCAATTTCTGGCGGATTGCATTAATTTAGGGGTTTCCCCAACGGGTTTTGTTCCAACTGTCGGCAATTTTACTCCATAATTGCGAGTGACGATAATTATGTCACCAAGATAACAGAAAATGTTCACAGTTTTGCCAAGATTTCAGAAGTCCTCAATATTGTCGCTGAAAAGATGATATTGTCTCCGTTACTGCAGAAGATGATCATGATTACATCGCGACTGCGGAGATAGTAACAATTTTGCCACTCTCACGAATAAAAGCTACGATGATGACACTAAACAGAAACCTGAAAATTGTCAATTGATTTTCTTTATCATTATTGCCATTTACAAGAATCATTACTAAGGATTTTAAAAACAAAAACTTAAATTCTCCTTGTGACACGGTAAGAAAAATCCCTTTTTAAAACGTTTTTATTAGCTCGCTTTCTTGTCCGGTACAAATTTTGCAATCAATTTAATACTAACTTCCCGATGATCTAGAGACTTGAAACTTGAAACATAGCTCACAAATGGAAGACAATGCAATATTATATAATTTAATTTGCATATTTCTCTTGGGCTACGCCCCATGGGCATGTTTTTATTAACTCGCTTTAAGAGATATGCGAGCACAGGTTTTTCAGGTCGAGTCGAGTTAGAGTCGAGTAATTGGCAAAAGATTCGATTCTCGAGTTCGAGTCGAGTTTAAACCAAAAAGATTGAAGAATGTGTAAGTTTAAGTAACTCTTTAGGACTAGAGCATGTAACTTGTAAAACAACCCTGTTACAAGCTGAAGTACGATTATAAAAATAAATTAATCATCAATATTTGTGCAGTAACACGCGAATAGTTAGGGGCCTATACAATTTATGATGGCCGAGTTATCCAGACTACCGGGTTAATGAGTGCCGAGTTTGCGGGACTTTACTGTACCAACCATCCCTATTGAAAACGTTAGCATTCATAACCTTTTGCCAGAAGACAGTTTTTTCTCTGAACCAATTTGGTACATATCACCGATAAGTTATTAATTATTCAAACTAAAACGCTGAAAAATGTTTAGTAAAACATAATGGGGTATTTACCAGTTCCCTTAAGTAAAATCCATGACTTTTCAGTGATCTTTTGCTATAGTAAATTAACTATGATATTTTATGTAGTTTGTCCGTAACAATACCGAAAATTCCTTAAATTTCAGTAGAAATGAGTTAGGCAAGGTAATGGGAATTGTTTTGTGCGCCTTGGCGCGAGTAGTTGGTCCATCTTGGCCAACAAAATGTAATGAACCAGACTGTGATTTTTATGGAATAAATTGTAAAAGTTACAATTTAACTTTTGGAACATCATTTTTACAGCAATCAGGGTTTTTTTAACGTTTTGTTTAGAGGTTAAAGATAAACATACTACATTTTAATCAAAACAAGTAGAGCCATTTACTTTACAATTTTTCTGTTATTTTATGGGTAAAAAATCGCAAAGGTTGCAATAACTATCAAACTGTAATTTTTACAGCAATGGGGTTTGTATTATTATTTTGTTGAGAAATCAAAAGACTTTAACATACTAAATTTTAATCAAAATCGTGTAGGCCAATTTTGTGAAAATTTGATTTTCCTGTTATTTTAAATGGAAAAATCAAACACAAAGATTAATTTTTTTATGAAAAAAAATGCTTGGAGATACTGTTGTCTACTGTAGTACCAAAATTTTGACCACATGTATGGTCTGTAGCTATGGCACACACACATACACATGGACACGCAAACATACATAACTTTTTATAGGTTCAGACTTCAGAGGACCCAAAACAGATACTTCCACTAAAAAAATTTTACTCAAAATTTTTACGAAAAACAGAACTTGTCCATATACTAAGTTATATACAAGGGAGAAAGTAAAAATCCTCATGTACAATTAATAGATCCCTTTGAATTTATGCCTTTAAATTCCTACTACTTAAACAAACAAAAATAGGTTATTCAAAATGGCTTGCCTCCTTTATTTTGGTTATTCAGTGTTTTACTGTAGTTAAAAATCACTTTTTCATTGTAAATTCAAATTTTCAAGGATAAATGTAAAATAAGTTTTATTTACATTGCTCTAATTTCAATATCTTAGAATTAACATGATTACAGAGTTCAAAGTCATTTCAGAGACTGGTAGACATCTTGCATGATTGTAAACAAAGTACATTTTCCGTTAATTCACTACCTCTAGTGGAATGTGGTTAGGTTAGGTTTTTCTAACTCTATACCAACCTAACCTAACTCAACCACTAATTCACTACCACTTCTATTGCTAATAAATCTATTGCTCTAAAAACTAGTGGTAGTGAATTAACAGAAAAAGTAAAAAAAATACTCAACTAAACTTTCATTTGATTAAACAGAATTGATGAACACTTAATGACCCTTGCCTACCTCGATGCCGTCGCTGACAGAGTTGACGAGTTCAGAGAAGACTTGGATGTATCTTCGCACCATGAGTCTCCCTCTCAGATGCTTGACCTCGGCCACATTACCCAGCAGCCCCATCATGTTGCGCATCAGCTCCTCCCTCTCGGGGAACAGCTGTCCACAACATTTGACACGTTGAAAACATCTCCACAAAAGTTTTACGCCATAAAGCAGAGTTTACACGAGGCCAGTATACAGGGTTGCTTCAAGTAACTTGAAATATACCAACTGCTCTTGTAAACATGGCTTTCACATCCGAAGCGACTTGACTGTGTGGAAGCCATAAGCAAGTACTTTTGCATTATGCACATCAACGCTTTTGATATTAGTTTCTAAACTCACAAAATCCCATTTCTGATTGGTTACAGTTATTAGTTATCTAAATGGGATGGAAATTCAAATATTACGTTGTTTGACTGTACAGTAGAACCTTGATAACCAGACTCTCATCTATATATATAAAATCCAATGTATGTTTGTATACTTGTATGTTTGTCCTTTATGGACTCCAAAACCGCTCGACAGATTGTAATGAAACTTTTAGGCATTATTAAGCATTATTCAAGGATGGTTTGTGTGAAGTTTGGTGCAGATCCGTCAATAGGGCTCCGCCCCAGTGGCTCTAGAGTTTCCCATGTTAACCTTGTGAGTACTCATATTTAAATGGAATTAAAGAATCTTAACAGCTGGTGCAGCTAAACAATTTTCATTCTGTGATGTTCAATAGCATTAAAAAGTTAATAGGTTTACCAACAGGGTGCAGCACTATATATTTTTTTAAATTTATGAGAACAGCTAATTTGCAACCAAAAGGTGAGTGAGCGTAGCGAACGAACTTCAACCTGGAGGTGAGTTAGCGTAGCGAACGAGCTAACCTGAAGGCAAGTGAGCGCAGCGAACGAGCTCCAACCTAAAAGTGAGTGAGCGTAGTGAACGAACTTCAACCAGGACGTGATTGAGCCATGCGAACGAGCTCATCTTGAAAATGAACGAGCATGTGACATAAAACCACAATAGGACAGGACGACGTCTGTCGGGCCAGCTAGTAGGGATTATAAAATAAGACTTGTTATCAAGGTTGACTTCTTATCGAGGTTTGCAATAGCATGTGATTAGGGGTAAAATAATTTCAAGGGGATTTGAAAATGACCCTTGTTATCAAGGGCGACTTGTTATCGAGGGTCTTGTTATTGAGGTTCTACTATATCATTATGACATACAAATAGTATCGATATATTCCAAATAGATTTTTACCCCCGTTAATTTTTACACACTTACGTCTTTATTTTTGAATGGTCAAGACAATCAATACAAAAGTAGCTCATAGCTAAAAAAAAATTCATGAAATCCTACTTGGACTTTAGGATAATGGTCTAAACCATTATCCATTATGGTATCCACCATGCTAAAGGTTAAACAGTGATTGATCTTGGTAAAAGGTAGGGTTAGAATGATGGTGAATATGAATAAATGAATGAACAAAACTTGGTCCTTGATTGAGCAAATGGTCCTTTTTTCAGTCAACCTGGAAACTACTATTATTATCATATACCAAACCTTCATTTTTTAACATTTTCCTACTTCAAATACAATTTTTTTTAACTATGCAGGAAACTAAACAGCTCCCAGTAAGCCTATATATTATATCTAGTATGTAAACTAACAATGGAAAAGATTACAAATACATGATCAATCAGCTGGTCTTGCTACTTACATTAAGGCACTTTAAGAACAACTCCATCCCCCCACCATCAAGGAATCGCTCGCAGTTGATGGCTGTTTCATCCGTCACATTCCACATCGTAGACCAAGCTACTTCCAACACATCATCACACACTTCCTGACTCACACGATCACGGATCAGCTTCAACATTCTCTGTCGAAATATAAAAATCACTTTTATTACGACAAGTTGAAACATAAAATTGTAATGATATAGTATCTCTAAATACGATAGTTTTCCTCACTGTTAGATGTTTACCACATTTGAATTTTTATAACTAATTAACATGTAATTGTAGTAAGCTGATGTTGGCGAAGACCGTAGATATTGACGAGTTATTCCGTTATAGAGAATATAGCATTGTCAATCAAAGGTGGTAAATTTAACCATCTACTCTACTCCAATGGTCTTGCTATCTGTTTATGTATCATTAGGTAGGTAGCCTACCAAAGTAAAAAAAGTAGGCCTAACTTTTATTTTTTGTTATTAGACTTAATAGTAAAAAAAATACACTTGTCAGTGCATATGCTTGACTTTGAAAACTATAAATAGTTGATTTCCTAAAGTTAAGTATTTGTTATCGTTGCAATTGTGCTATTGCACATTTTTCGTCAACTAATTACCTATGGGGATTAAACGTATTCTCTAGGCTTTTCTTTAACCCTAGAAAGGTATCGTGATATGGTAGGACGCTAAGGCTATCAATACGTAAATTTGACGAAATGCCGACCATTTTACTATACACAAAGGGTATTGACACGTATGTTTGACGTATGCGTCCCAAGAAACAAACTAGTAAGGACATAAAGAAACACACTACAACCCAACCGAGGCAGCCATCATAAGGCAAATGACTGCTGAGAGCATTGCTGGAAGGAGGGTAGCGACGGTTGAGGAGGTAGGGGGTGGGACGCTAAAAAAAACTTGCCCATTTACGTGCGATACCCAAGTAATCCTAAGTAATTTATCAATATGTTAAGACCAAGCGATGGAAATCCAAAATAGAACACTCACGTCTATGGCACAGAGATCCCCGAGCAACTGTTTCTGTTGATTGTCCACTTGACAGGCCAGAGAGTTGAGCAAGTAGATGCCAATCCTCTGAACAAACCCTTCCTGTTGCATCGAGGACACTATGTGTAACAGCATCATGACAAGTCTCTCGTACTCAAACAGCTGAAACATCAACATGACCATTGGAAAACTCAAAACCTGCTTCATAACTGGGTAGTGGATATAAGCTTGGCTAATCAGAACCACACAGTAGGCTCGTCATCCTAAGAGGCCAGTAGCTGTGGCTGTGTGCTTGTCTAATCAGAACTACACCGTAGGCTCGTAATCCTAAGAGGCCAGTAGCTGTGGCTATGTGCTTGTCTAATCATAACCACACAGTAGGATCCTAATCCTAAGAGGCCAGTAGCAATGTGATTCTCTAATCAGAAGTACACCGTAAGACCCTAATTCATCCTAATCCCCTACTGTTTAGGGGGAGAAATTAAAAGTACTTAAAAATGGAAAAAGCCACTCTTAAGATGGTTCAACTTACAACGTCCTGAGGTATCTTGAACTGACACAGTGTCAGGCATCCGTTCCGCATCATGGTGTCGTCTTCTTGGTGAGTGTTCATGCTGTTCAGCAGAGTTGTGATGATCTTGCGTTTCACCTTCGCTGGGAACGGAGGGATATCTTTGTTCTTTACTATGTAGAATAGTGTTGCACTGAAAATCAATTTCGGTTGAGATAATATATTTGTAAGCATTTGGTTATGGGTAAATTGTTCTTGGTTACAACATGCAGCGCAGTTTCTCAATGAAAAGCTCAGTTACAAATCACATTACATTTTTATCACTCTCTTTTACCACTGTAATGCTGTGACCACTATCAGCTGATGAATGGACAGTTGGTAATGCTCACACATCGTGATTTTATATCATAGCCTAACTCTGTCTGATTCAAGCCTGACCCAAGGCAGTGTATTTGTGTTTAGTGGATAGGTGTTGAAGAATAATTTTTAATTTTGTTTTAATTACGTGTTAACTGTGCTTGGGATTAACTTATTGATGAGTAGCTTCTTTTGTAGACTGATGGAGTTATAAATTACCACCACCTCATATACAGGGTGGCAAAAAGTCCTGGAACAGTTAAATATAAAAAAAATAATAATAAAGGTAGAGCTCCCAAACTTGAAACAAAGATACTAGGCATAAAAACCATTTAAAACTATTTTAAATTTAGTGATACACTACTCTCTAAGCGAGACAGCCCGCTAGGAGTGACAAAGAAATTTTAATGGTAAGCATATGTAGGTCGTCAGCGTCGTTAGTCGGCTAAATTGCTTTGATCGTGACAATGTCCACCAGTACCGTGTGTGTGAGGTCTGTTCGTTTTTATAACACTTTGGTAAAGTAATTATTCGTGTGTGTTATGTATTTTAACTTTAATGACTCTACTTACGCCGAGATCTATATGTCTGATGACGGCATTGTGATACCAATACGATCGTGACAACAGTTATAACTTCTGAGCTTATTGGCAAAGGTAAATCCTACTTTTTAGTGGTACAGCTTGGGGGCTAAAAACATGACTTTTAAAGCACAAACAACTTCCTAATCAGCATAATAGGCTATGTGTTACCAATTTTATGTAGGATAGAACAATCTTTTATATATATATACTAGCTGACCCGGCGAACTTCGTATCGCCTAAGTTATAGGTTTCCCCTAAGACAGACCGATGGAAAGAAAGTACCGTTACGTTTAATTTTCAAGATGATCTCGTTCGCATCGCTCAATCACGTCCTGGTTGAAGTTCGTTCGCTACGCTCACTCACCTTTGGGTTGGAGCTCGTTCGCTACGCTCACCCACCTTTAGGTTGGAGCTCGTTCGCTGCGCTCACTCACCTTTAGATTGGAGCTCGTTCGCTGCGCTCACTTGCCTTCAGGTTAGCTCGTTCGCTACGCTCACTCGCCTTCAGGTTAGCTCGTTCGCTACGCTCACTCGCCTCCAGGTTGAAGTTCGTTCGCTACGCTCACTCACCTTTTGGTTGCAAATTAGCTGTTGTCATAAATGTAAAAGAAATAATAGTGCTGCACCCTGTTGGTAATCCTTGTAACTTTAATGCTATTGAACATCATAGAACAGAACCAACTTGTTTAATTGAAACAGCTGTTAAGATTCATTAATTCCATTTCTCATAAGGTTAACATGGGAAACTCCAGAGCCACTGGGGCGGAGCCCTTTTAAGAATTTCGAAACGGGAAATAGTTTACGTCCGATTCGCATACCTACAGAATTTACACACCAAATTTCATAACGATCGGTGAAGTCGTTCCGGAGGAGTTTGCAGACAAACACTGTGACACGAGAATTTTATATATTAGATTTACTGTCAGTATATGAGTGTAAATATATGTTTTAAATGTTATTAAATGTATTTTTATTTATTCTCCATCTTAAAACGATCGTCAGACGAAATCTTGGGTTTATAAATTACCTGCCAGAGATCTGAATGTGTTTCTCAGAGATGTGCCTTTCCATGGACTCCAGAACAACATTGAGCGCCCGGAAAATATTTGTGCAGTGTTCGTATCTGAACAGATGATAAAGGTCGTTCAACACCCTCTGGAGAATCTCAGGTCGGTGAATGTAGGCAGCTGCGGCAATCAGGATTTGTTGTTCGTTGGCGTCTCCAGAAATCTGGTCAAATCATAACAATATCTTTAATATAATCATACTAGTATTATAAATGTGAAAGTTTGTGTGTTTGTTTGTTTATTTGAAGTTCAATCACGCATTAACTACTGGTCTGATTGTGTTGAAATTTGGTATGATGATAGCTCACATTCCCGATTAACATGTAGACATATTCTTACCTCAAAATTCATTTCGGGCTCCACCCCAGCGGCTCTAGAGTTTTCCATGTTAACCTCATGAGTATTCATATTTAAAAGGAATTATAAATAATTTTGCCAGCTGTTTCAACTACACAATTTGTTTCATGATATTCAATATGTGTCGCAAAATTCTAGGGGGGGAATAAACTAGTATTCACCAAAGTCAGGCTAAGCCTACCCCTAGAACCGGCCACACTCAAATTTCTTCCCCAAAGCGCTCAGAAGGAGCCGAGAAAAATCCAGGGGTCGATACGAAGTTGTCACGGCTTTGACTGATCAATTTATTTAAATTTAATCGAAGGCTCAGAGCTCTAGAAGCGCTCAGGAAATCCTGCAGACGCCCAGTTGGAGCTATATCATCCCAGCCTTCGTAAAAGTGTTGTGGAGAATTTTGCCTAACTTTTGGATTGACTCTGTAGGACCGACGAGTATTCTATCTTAGCCAATTTGGTAAAAACTACTCGTGTGAACTTTCAACTATTTGGCTAAAGACGGTAAATAATATAAAATCGAATATAAGGCAAAAAGCAGTTCCTACAGAGTCGTCGGGGCCTAATTAATATAATCGAACTGATAATTTATGGTGATATGATTTAAAATAAATTTAGTATTAATTTTCGTAGTTGATTGTTCAACTCAGCCTGCTCCCAAGACTTGATTCTTTCACTTGCAAAAGACGGGGTTTAGAACTCAGACGACAAGTCTCGGGGTATCAAAACGGCGTAATAACGGGAATAAATCTAAACGGCGAAACAAAACGATAAATTTAATAACGAATTTAAATCAAACGAAACCAACACTTAATGGCTTAAACGGCCACCGCTAGTCACTGGCAGGCAGGAACTGGTGGGTATGAAACAAGCCGGCAAAGTTCTAGTTTTCGTCTGTCGTCCATCAACAATCAAACACCAGTTTGGGGTTATGTTGTCGTCGGCGTTAAATATCTGTAAAATGGGCCGGTTAAACGGAGTGCTATTATGAATGAATATGTAGTTGTGGGTGTGTGTATGTACTTCACTGTGATTAAAAATAGGCCTACGTTCTTCGGCCCATAGCCCAAGCTATGGCCAACACATAGGCCTAGAAGTAGGCTATTGTGGATAAAAATCGAGTAAGTTCTGGTGTTCATTTATTCGCAGTACGTTTTTACCCCCCTTAACATTTGGAACCTTACAAATAGCACTAAAAGGTTATACGGTTTACCAACAGGGTGCAGCACCATTAGTTCTTTATACATTTATGACAACAGCTAATTTGAACCAAGCAGCTAACAAAAACTTAAGTGTGAGAGATTTACTTCTTTGTATTGTATAAGTGAAGTGGTAGAACATTATGGCTATGGTAGATGTTCTAAATAGGCTACTATAGTATACCGTAGATTATAGTAAACCAAATTTTCTCAAAACGTGTTCTCTCTCATTGCAAATGCAAAGAACGAGTATTTAACTAGGCTACAGTAAGCATTGTATACCAACCCCGTACGAAGGACGGGTACTCAGCTAGTCTGTAATATCTTTGACTGATAAAACGAGACACCGATTTTGACAGATATAAATTACTGATTTCCGTTGAGTGTGCAGACTTTAACCAAGTCAAACTGTTATGACACATTATTGTAATCTATAGCATCTTTTGTGTAGCCTAAACTTAAATATATCAGAAACAATAAATGAGAAAGAAAAAAATAATTTTAAACACTAAGGGGGGGGGGGTCACTGGCTCATTCAACTATCTTCTTTTTTAATAAAAAATCGGCGACGGCTGGTCCATGTAGATAAAATGTATACTCTACCATATAAAATACTCTATCAATGGTAACATTATGGAAAATAGGTTTGTGCAAATGAATTTGCGGAGGGAAATTAATGGATCAATGGATTTTATCTAAGTTGTAATGACACAGCCTCCAGGCCTAGCTTGATCTAATTTGAAAAAACAATCTTTTAGGCTAGCATCCTGGGATGTGAAGGGGTAAGAATTGGTCTCTGGGGTGATTTACAAGGGCCTTCAGGGACCCACGCTACAATAAACAAATCTACCACTAGGTAGCCTACTATTGTTGACCGTAAACTTTTAACAACTTCAAGGACTCATAAAAAAAAGCAGTTTGTTTACCAATTTGGCAGGGATGTCGTGCCGTCGACATGCTCCGTGTTGAGTGCCGTAGAGTCCCAAGAACTCAAGAGGATTGTCGATGCGATTATCCAGACCTGGTATGTCGCACCTTTTTCCTTCGCTGTACTCAATGACCGCTACACCTACAACCATTTTTTCGTTCAAATATTTTTAATTCTTTTATTATACTTCATTTTCCAGCTAAAAGTATCTCAAAAGTCAAATTAATAACATACCTTCATTCCACAAAGAAAATGTATAGTAGAATACAAAGAAAAACACATAACACTCTTAAAGTGAAGAATTATTCTTCTGCAAAGACAATAGATCTGTGCAAATTTGGAAGAACTTTAGACAAGTATTATAGTCTGTTACATTAAATAACATATTTTAACAGCAAATTAGAAAAAAAATTAACGTTGCACACTTCATTGTACATGCCTAGGCCAGAGCCTATAGTGCATGTTGGAAATCTAGCAATGAATCACGTAACTTAAACTCAGCTGCTTACCAGTTCCGGCAAGATTGGTTCCTGATATGTCCAGGGATACAAGGTCGGGTAGGTTCGTTAAAATGAACCGCAAAGTTGAATGTTCCATGACAAAAGTCCTCACCTTATCATTAGACTGGGATATATCGAGATGTCTGAAAAATTCATGTTTTAAAGTTAAAAACAAGATATGAAAGTTTACAATGATTACGGTACAAGAAATTTATTAGCCTACGGTATCTATTTTATTGACATGGTATTTTTCTTTAAAATATGTTTCATTTTCACCCCAAACCATGGACACAGCAGTGAGTCAGGCAAACCTTTGATATGACTCTATTGTAACATCGAACCTCAAACCTAAACTAGGCTATTAGTATTGTAAATTTGTATCAATCTATAACTATGGTACTCTACTTTTGATACCTAATCATAACTTGTCATAATTAACCATGCTAATGTTTTTGTTAGGCCTACATAATAAATTACCCTATAGGAAAACATATATGTGTTTTTAAATCTTTTGCTATAGGCCTAGGCCTATCTTAGAATAAAATTCAATCTAGGCTATAACTTGTAAAATTAAAAAGTTAGCCTATAGGGTGTAGATTGAATTTTATCCAAAATACCAATATTAAATATCACTAAGATAAATTAAGGCTATTAAGGAAAAACTATAATTAACAATCAATTTAATCAATAGAGTGGCTCATCAAAGTTCTATTGTTGTTGAGTTTTATCCTGAAAGATATATACTACCTATCTTGATATGTATGAGTAAGCTACCAAGGTATTACTCAGAGAGCCATTTAACTCTGAAACTAAGATTGTGATGTTTGCAAAATTCACTGTTTTGTAGTTCTATTAATTAGGCCTGTACTAACTTAGCATGTCAATCTGAGTTAACCTAATGAAACAACATACTTTTGCAAGAGCCGGCCTTAGGCACGTGCGGGAGGTGTGGTGTGGCAGCACAGGACCCCGCCGCACCTCAGGGGGCCCACACTTGGTGAAAATAATAGAAAGAAAAAGGGGGCCGAGTATAGCTTAGACGTAAATAAGTTATTAACTTTACGCTAGGCTATACATTGAGAATTTTGTTAGTTACCTAAATGTACGGTATTAAGTTATTGTTGAGATAAGTTAAGTTAAGTTACTAATTTTTTAGTAGTAAGCTCGGTTAGCACTGGGCTCCGCACCACCCAAGGCCAGCTCTGATTTTTGCTTACCTTAGGCTTTTAAGTTCATAAATCGTTTCCAATCCATCTTGGACTTTGACAACATTGTGTAGAACAAGAGATACAACTTTTGTTAATGGTTTCAAAAATGAAAAGTCTTCAATATCAGTATATCCAGACAGATCAAGATGTGTAAGGTGATGTAGGTTCTGAAATAGCGTGTTGAAGTAAATTGGATCCCTTACGTCAGGTGAGAAATTTCTCAGCACCAGCTTCCTGAGATTTGGTGCCTTAATTACTGCCCCATTAATCAAGGAAGAGCTTAGAGGAGGAGGATATGTGTTGATTAATGGAAGTAACCTAACTCCAGCTCCGACTGAAAGAGAAGTTAAGCTCTCACCATGCTCATTGAGAGCACACAAAGACTTTTCAGTTACGTTGAAGCACTTTTCTAGGTCTAACTCAACTAAGTTGTGCTTTAGTAATGCATCCAGCCCTTCGTCCGTGATACTAGAATGTCTTAAACAGACCCTTTTCAAACTAGTAACACTAGGGTCGCTAAATAAGCTTATGATTCGATCATCTATGACACCAACATTTTGGCTATAAAAATAAATTATCTTTTCACAAAGTTCTCTCGGTAAAGCAAGTCCTGGATTGAGTTTAAAACATTGTGTCTCTTTGTCGACGTGAGAAATAATGGACAAGTGTCGGGCGACATAAACAAAGCACTGGTCAAGAAGACTATCAGGAGCATTATCACTTTCACATGGAGGCATTTTAAATTTTCTTAAAGTTTAAGTTGAGGTTATAGGCAGTTATGATTTTCTGTAAATTGTTAACTTTTGTGAGACATTATGCTGTAAGTACAAGGTCACACTTTGACGAACCTTATTACATTTACACAGCGTTAACCTGAATAAAATAGACTTTAAATGACAATACAAGCCTAATTCCTATTACTCAATCCAACATAACTATTCACTTCGTCTTTAAGCCTTGACATAGTAACTCATTAACTCATAGGGGCACCCTAAAATGATACTCCCTAGATTACAATTTCTTAATTCTCACGGTTCTTCAAGTATAAGCACTTAGTTAATTATTATACTAATGCTTTACGGTCGTAGTTAAGAATAACTCGATTAGTATTTCGGTAAATAACTGAAAATATAGCACAATAAGAGACTGTCACAACATTAAGATTTAGGTTCTCAAATTTTGTTGAAAATAAAACACAGATGAGTTGACTTGACAGATGGTTGATTGGTCGACCGTCTACACTGCTGGCTAAGCGGAGTGCTGGAGTGCTGCTGACTGCTGGCTGACTGCTTTACTAGAAATAGAAAACACTAGATCATTAGATCCAAGTAAGATTGTTGATCACTGTGTAATGTGTGCTTGCTCAGTAAAAAATAAATATACTATTTAGCGTAAATCATAAAATGGCAAAACTTGTTTTGTGATTACATAATAATAAAGAACTGTTATCGTTGAAAATTTATTGTTTGTTGAATTTTTTAATAATCCGAAGTCAAATCATTAAAATGATAATGAAAACTACGGTAGAACCGCCCTTATAAGATCTGAGACTATGGTTGACGTGATGGCAGATTGACAGGAGCCAGCGTGCGTGACTCAAAGATTCACAGATTTTATTTGGATATTAAGTTGTCAGAATACTCTATTAAATTCTATTGAAAATAAGTTTCCCCCCATTGATTTGATAGTATCTAAACGCTGAAATAGATAAATATTGATCGATGACAATCATGAACCATGAACTTCAGATCATTGTTCTGCATAGTGCTCTCAAAGGCAAATTACACGTCACATGGATTGTTATTTTATTTATTCATTTATTTTTTAGCACAAGGTCCTTCTGAGTTGGCGAGGGGTGACCACATGGTGGAAGGAAAGGGGGTGACCCCATATAGCATGTGACTGGTTCCATGCACAACGTGTGACTGAAAAGAGAGATAAAAGCTAGTCGCACGAAGTTAGGAGGTTATTTATTCTGATGTTAATTTCAATATACTCAAAAGAAAAATGACTCGGTTGAGTAAGACGTTGATATATATACTTTAATGCTTTTCATTGAAATGACGACCATACAAATTATAGGTATTTTAAGCCATGGAGATGAGTCTATGATGAGTGGCGCTCCGCTATCTCTTTGTAGGATAGATAAACATTTGTATCTATACCTCTAGTCTTGTTAGTGACTATAGGGCCGACATATTCCTTAGACACAGTTGTTAATTAATAACCCACACAGCTAATGCCAACTAATTAAGTGACCTACAGTTTATAGTGGAATCCACGAATACCAACTAGAAAAAGACCTTGGAATATTTTTGTCTAGTATTCGCGGTAGAATCCGAACCAAATTTTTGCCTTGGTATTAACGAATTGGTATTCGGATAGTACAGTGGATAGCCCAACACACGTTCATAGCCCAAGGTAAAGCAAAGCGAGCTTGACAAAGTCACAAAATGATACGCTCGCTATAAACATTATTTCTTGTGTTTTCTTGTGATTATGAGCCTGAAACCCATTCAGAATGAAAACCCACCAGAGGTTGGACTGAATTGATAACACGTAAGGGAGATCACACGGTGTTTTCGACCGGGTGCAATTAAAAAAACCATTTTAGTTAATCCTTAAAATCGTAAAATGGTGTAAAAAAATTATTTACAGCCTTCTTAATATACTTTTAGGATGATAAATCATAAAATGGACAGTTTGTAACACAATCAATACCTTGCATTTTGTTTGTTTTTTGTAAGCAGTTTCTTATATAACTCAATATAATATGCCTTGAAAGTTTTTAGCGATGATCGAATTTCCCTCAGGGAATTACTATTACTGTAATACTGTAGGTGGCACGTTAAGACCTGGAGCCGGGAACGATACACTTTTTCATTTTGGTGTCCCTAGAGACCAAAAACACAACCCGGTAGATTTGTTCTAATTTTTATATATGTATATAAACGTCCGTGAACGCGATAACTTGAGTAATTTTTGTCTAATTTTGATGAAATTTGGTTTGAAGTCGTACGGTGGGATAAACTTGAATGAGTTCGCGAACCAGCATGTTGGAACATGGGAATAGGGTTTAATTTCGGGGGGTTTTAAGGGGAAACTTTGTCTTTCTAATATTTGACCCCCAAAAAACAAAATTTCCCAATTTCTCTCTAGACCATTTTAAAGAGCTTAAAAAACAAATAATTTACCATACGAAAGTGTTTTGTACGGTTGGTTATGTAGAACATTAAAAAAATTTCAAATTATCCATGTTATTCTTATGAAATAATATTGAAGAATTGTAGTTGGCTTGCTTATGAAAATATTTTGATTTACCTTGGTAAATGTATTTATTTCATACTAAGCTACTAATTTTACTAAAAACACACTTTATTAGCCTCCCTGTAGCAGCAAACCTATGTACTCGTTAAACCAAAAGTTATTTAAATAGATTTAATTTAAAATCAATTCAGGCAAATGGAAATTCGCTTGGTCTGCAGGTTTGCTAGCTGTGGACTGTGGTGGTTGTATTTTATATCATCTTCATCTCTCTCAGCACTCAACTGTGGACTACCTATCAATTCTATACTTGACTTGTTAGATTTCCCGTCTAGCCAGTGAGAGGTACATCATTTGTATGTAGGCCTACATAATTTAATGGAAATAATAATGAGTTAAGACTGTAGTCAATCAACAATTTAAAGACAACAAAATACTAAAGAATGATTCCCATGTTATTCTTATGGAAGAAAAATGCTCAAAGTGAAGTATGTTTGGATATACTTCACAGCCTCTACTAGCACTGCTATTCCGCCTATATTAATAAATACAAAAAGATAATTAATTTATTTAGCATGGGTTCCCGAAGTTGATTTCAAATGCACAGAATGTCACAATAAACAAGTATAACGGTTTAAAAGCATGTGGAAAATAACAAGTATTGTTATTTTCATATAGCATGGCCCTCAATCGTTAATTTATTGTAAGTTTATTATCTTTACAAGCTTGCTAACAATAATCATTATAATTAAAAGAAAAAATTGTCTTGCGTGGATGCGTAATTGAATTTTATGGCAGATCTTTATAGGAAACCCGGTTCGAAATTAGTGTCTTAACAATAACTAATGTTTTTACATCCACCAGTACCTTGTAAACTAGATAAAAAATCGTCATGTCAACTACAAAAGTGATGCATTTTATAATGCTCGGACAACGGCCGCTTTTGCCAATGAAGGTGGCGTGTTGTCGTGTACGTCCCATATTCGCTGCCGTCAACCCATCACCTCGCACATAGGCGACAACGTGTCACCACGTCAACCCGCCACCACTCTTTTACGAGGTGTTGGGTTATCGTGTACGCTCAATGTTCGGTGCCATCAACCTACCACCTCGCACGTAGACGTCAACCAGCCACCACGTCAACCCACCACCACACTAAAGAGTGGCTGATTGACGTGTATGAACACGTATATGCACCACCACGACAACGTGCCACCACGACAACGTGCCACCACGACAACGTGCCACCACGACAACGTGCCACCACGACAACGTGCCACCACGACAACGTGCCACCACGACAACGTGCCACCACGACAACGTGCCACCACGACAACGTGCCACCCAAACAACGTGCCACCACGACAACGTGCCACCTCGACAACATGCCACCCAAACAACGGGCCACCTACTGAGCTAAAATTATAACTGGAGGTAGCACTGCCATGGCAGAAGTCTGTCAAAAGCGAGTCGCTGATTTTGTTAGGTTGGTATAGCAGTAAGTTTTCTTACCATAGCAATAACATGGCTTCTTATAACTAGGTTGTATAGCAGTGAGTTTTTTGTCATAGCAATAACAAGGCTTCTTATGGACACCCACCTCACGCAAACATGGCGGCTGGCGACACGCATCTTTGACATTCAGTGCTACCTCCAGTTAGAATTATAGCTCAGTGGGGCCACCACGTCATCCCGCCACCTCAAACTTCTTCTTTTTTAGTAGTGAGTTGACGAGGTGGCTGGTTGACGAGGTGGTGCCTTGACGCGTTCCCAATTTTGTGATGTGTCACTGTGAACAATAAAATAAAATTAACCAACATCTAATAGTAATGTGAAAAACAATCCCGGGCTCGTAGTGTCTTCTTAGGACAAAAATCTATGGATAATGGTTGTCAACCATATGGGACCAACCCTTTTACACACTAATTATTCTAAACGGAGAGCACTGTTTCCAAGCGCCAAGAGCATTGACCATCTCTATGTAGACGCTCGTGCTCTGTTCAAACATTGACAATATCTACTATAATAAACTCTACTATCAACTACTATCTAACTCTACTATCTCAATATCTACTATAAGGTTTCTAGTATTTATAATCAAAGGTTCAAGCTTCTATCAGTCTTTTGCAGACTCTTCTCCTCTTTTGCTTTTCTCCTCACTCACTCCTCCATTCCAAATAAAGTAAATTAATTATCAATTCAACCCAACTCAACATCAACCTCGTCCTTCGTCCTCAACCTCGCTCAAGGCTCAAGGCTCAACCAAACCAACATGGCGACGTCGCTTTCAGTGTGTGAATTTTTTGATGCGCCACTGTGAATAATAAAATACAATTAACCAACATCTACTAGTGTAATTTTCGGGTATCGAAGGACAAATTTAAGCCAGCACATAACAGTTGATAACAATAGTTATAGTGAAGTGTTGACGATTTGAGTTAAATCATGCTATTTTAAATAGGTACCTAATTTGGTGTCGGTGTTTGGTGATTACAATTTATTAACTTAGGAGGTACCGGTATATTGTTAAAAGCTTATAAAATGACTCAGTTTTTACCTCCGAATTTGCTTGCTCTCTTTGCTCCCCGAGATCCAATACCATACCTTCCTCCAGTAGCCAAGTTACCCCACGAGAAGAAAACCAAGGGTTATCTTGGTTTGGGGTCCTTCTTGGGGTGTTTCGAGGTAAGTAGGCTAGGCTCGGCTGCACTTTACTTGACGTCCTACACTCATTCGAATGAAAATATCGATCGATATATCGATTAATCGATTGCTTCATTCGATATATCGTTTGGTTAGTTAGGTAAGGTTAACCTAACCTAACTAACCAAACGATATATCGAATGAAACAATCGAATGAAAATATCGAATCGAAAAAACAATTGAATGAGTGTAGGACGTCAAGTAAAGTGCAGCCCTAGGCTCTTGTGTTTATATGCTAACTTATTGTGTTTTTTTGAGTAACGTATTCAATTCAAGCTTATCTACGGCTACCTATATAATTTTACCTAAGGGCTCAACCTGCTTTTTAACCCTAAAAACATATTGTCCGTAAAAATGCCCTAAAAACATATAGAAACATATTAGTGATCAGAAGACTTAGTAGTAGACCTAAAGTAAGTTTAGATATATTGTTAGCAGTTTATTTCTCTCTAATTCAAAGTCACTTGATGTAGGGCCAAACTTAGCCTAGGGCCTATTGTCAGTTTGTCATCATCGTTCGTAGCTCAAGCACATCTGATCTGATTTGTTATCTGTGCAACAAATTTATAACATCATAAACTTAACTTAAAGTGCTTTACGATTTTGAGAACTGGTTACGGTATCTTATCGCTGGAGTAAACAAACAACGCAACTTATAGGGATGGCAGGGAAGGGGGGTTAACAAAACTCCAAGGTCAAGATAGTTTTTGTGCTTCGAGCCACCAGTGAGAGGCTATAAATAAACATTCTCTTGTAACAAAATGGTTGCTTGTTTCTTTCATTTCGACAAAAGGTTCTGTACCGTACTGTACAATAGATTTGGAAAGCATCAATTAATAAATTCGCAGAGGATACGCGTCCGGTAACCGGACGTGGATTAGGCGTCCGGCAGTTACTGTCATAACCTAACCTAACCAACCAAACTTGCTGATAATGAAAAAAATCAAATGAAGGTTCAATTCTCTTCATAACATAAAATTATAAATGCCAAAAATTCTACGGTAACAAAAGATGTAGCCTACAGTTAAGAAGAAATTACAATCAAAGCAAAATCTGGGACAAAAAGTTACAGGAATCGATGGGTATCGAACCAGGGACCTCTTGGATATCAGCCAAGCACTCTATCCACTCACACCACGAACAACGCTGGCCGTGTATCGTATCGTTGTGGTAATGGCGTTCCGGGACCCCACAACCCGGTGACGTCACTACCGGACGCCTAATCCACGTCTGGTTACCGGACGCCTAATCCACGCCTGGTTACCGGACGCGTATCCTCTGTGTAATAAATTACAGTAGGCCTACTAAAGTTATTAAAATAGGAATTTTATTGACTCTTGCCTAGTAGCTTTGACTATTAATACAACAACTAGACATTCCATCCCCATGTTAAAGTTGTAGCCAGGTTTTTAATCAAATTTGTCTTAGTTGATGTGAACCACTTACAGATTGCGCTGATCTAAATTACCGTACTGATTTCTGCCGATTACATGATGTTTTTAACCAAGTCAAACTGATGGGATAACTTATTATGAGCTATAGCAACTGTTGTGACCCAGCAACTATGTCAGTAACGAAAAATAAGGTAGGTACAAAATAGAGTTTTAGACACTAGCGCAATCTGTGACTGGCTCACACAACTACATTCTTTTTTAGTAAAAAATTGGCGACAGCTGATCCATATAGATGGGATGTCTTCTTCTGTATCCAATAGTCAATGCTAGTAGTATAGGCCTACAGGGTGTAGGCCTATAAAGTCCCGCACGGGCTTCATATTTTCTAAACGACAACTGATAAATCAATAAGATTTGGTACATCAATACCACACCTAAAAATCTACTTATTCAAGGAACTATGAATTTTCTGTCCCACAAGGAGTCAGAAGGATATCTTAAATAGGAGCATAGGTCAATATGCACATCAAATGAAAGGTCTTTTTAGTAGAATACAATGCCGCAAACCGCACTTCACAAGGTTTAGGCCTATCCTGCGCAAAATGGCGGCCGTTCAAAGATTTCTTGAATCCGCCATTTTGAATTTTGAACGACTGCCATTTTTTACTCAGGTGTTCTTTTGAGCTTGAATTTACGGCATTGCTAGTGAAGACCTTTAATTTGATGTGCATATCGACCTATGCTTACGTTACCGTAACAATTTTCTTGCGATTCCTAGGGCTGTGTCCCCTGAGGAGTAAGCGTAGGTATAATAGCATGCAAATTAAATTATTCTTTGAACAACTGTCATTATTGGCTCAATTGTCCGTTTGGGTTCAAATTTGCGGCATTATATTCTGCTAGTAAAGACCTTTAATTTGATGTAGAGTACCTATATGCCAACCTATGCTTCTATTTAAGATTTCCTTCTGACTCCTTGCGGTACGTCCCCATGATATGACTGAAAATTGATAGTTCCTTGAAAAAGTAGATTTTTAGGTGTGGTGTGGTGTTGATGTAGGTACCAAATCTCATTGATTTAGCCTATCTGTTGTCTTTTAGAAAATATTAAGCCCGTGCAGGACTTTGTATAGGCTATACCCTGTAATATATTCCACTGAAAGTAGGCCTATTTGACTTATTGTGTTTTTGTGTTTATTTGTGACTTTTCTATCAATACGAAAAATGAGATAGGTAAGAGTAGTTTATTTTATAAATAATGCAAGTATGACTTCAAAATAATGATTATATAATTCCAAATGAATACTTAGCACTTCATTATGTGTTACTTTAGGGATTGCCCGTTTTATCCGACCTTTTGAGCTATCCGACCTAGGTCCGGTCCCATTAGGGTCGGTTAAGAGGGGGTCTACTGTAATGTGTAAAGTAAGTAGAAGAACCCACTGTAAGCCACTTTTAGCGAATTTCCCTATAGGGAAGTAGCCGTAGGTGGCATGGTAAGACCTAGGCCCGGGACCGATTTAGGTACTTTTTCATTTTGATGTCTTCAGAGGCCAAAAACACCATTCAAATTTTTATATATGTATATGGGTAGGCCTATATATAGATTTATATATACTAGCCTACTAAACCTATTACGCGCCACTGTTTTGTAGCTGCGGTCGTCATCACGATTACGCCTCCTGTCTATGTTTCGTTGTCGTCACGTGTCGGAGGCATTTAAAAGAAAAAAACAACAACAAATAATCAAATTATAGCTACACAAAACAACGATAAATGAACAAATTTAAGTTACAATCATGCTAACACGATCCGTCATAGCGACACAAAACAACGATAAATACACAAATTTAAGATACAACCATACTAACACGATCCGTCTTGGGGGTTATGTTTAAACAAACTCAAATAGTAAATAAACGTACTCAATGTGTTTCATTGAATTGAAAAATAAATAACAGCAGTTAAATTATACAGCTGATCAAAATGTAAACAATTATGTTCTTCATAAGGATAACATGGGAACTTTAAAAGCCACTGGGGCAGAGCCCAAGGGACTTTTTCAAAAATGTAAGGCCAGTTTGCAAATCTACGCGACACGCTCTTTCCAATGAGACGGCAATGGATAAAATCGGTTAAGAAATGGCGGAGGAGTTCAACCGACAAAGTTTCATGTAGCGTATTAATTATATAGATATAGGCCTATATATATATATATATATATGTGTCCGTGAACACGATAACTTGAGTAATTTTTTTCCGATTTTGATGAAATTTGGTTTAAAGGTGTAAGTCGGGATAAACTTGAATGAGTTCGCGAACCAGCATGATCGGACCATAGGAAGGGGGTTTAATGGGATGAAAATGGGGTTTTCTAATTTTTGACCCTCTAAACACAAAATTTCCCAATTTCTCTCTAGGCCTTTTTAAAGTGCTTAAAAAAAACAAATAATAAGGTAAGTAGGCTATATCAAAGTGTTTAGGTACAATTATTGGTTAGGTACGGAGAAAGTTCAAAAAAATTTTATTTTTAAATTCCCATGTTATTCTTAAGGAGAATGTTGTATAATGTTGTAGTTTTCTTGTTTTTGAATATATTTTGATCTAACTTGGTTGATTTATTTATTTTATACCGAAATCTATATAAATAAAATAAATAAAAGAGTTTTGTCTGTACATTGCTTAGAATCATGCAGTTTTTGGTTATTTTTACGTTTCATAGACTAAGAAAGCCGAAACGAGTCTTATCTCAGTTTCTGTCTGTATGTCTGTTTGTCTGTCCATTCTGTGACTCCGTCTGTAACGCCAAAATGTCATTTTACGCGGCCTTCTCCTAGAAAACTAGATTACCGATCAAGGTTCTAATCATTTTTCTGTATTTACTGGATTGGTGAGAGTGACTTTGGCCATAAAAACAGGGCCTCGCTTCTTTGAAAACAAAATAACGAACCATCAAAAACCCAATTTCTTTCGATTTTTGTCAAATTTTCTCCCAATGTTTACTATTACATTTTATGAAATAACGATCAGCTGTTTGGGTTCTCACTTCTAGCTGTCACTGATATGTTTACATTAAAATTTGTTTACAAATACCGCAACCATTTCCGATCAAGTTTTGTTAGCATATCCAAACCAAGTGAGATTAAAAACGTTGTGCCTTACTTAATAACCGGTTTAATTAATCGCAAGTGCAACGATTGTTCTTGAGTTATGATAACCGGGGAAAATGCCGTGAATCAGTGTTGTATTAGTGCTGGGAAACTTACCTACATTTTTTTAATCATCGTCGCCAATAGCCTAAATAAAAAGGTTTTCACTTATTGACGACGTTTCAAGGACAGTTGTGTAAAGTGCAAAGTAAAACATCACAAATGCAGTGGGTGATCGTGGATGTTGCTGAAATCTTGGAAGATCTATCTGATTTCGCTGTGATCGTAACAGAAGTTTAACTTACAGATGTAGCTAAACTCGCTTTTCCAATGTGTTGTTCACTTTTGGTTTCTACTTACATTTCGACAACGATATCGGTACTTTTCCTATCTAGGAAGTAAAACTAAAAACGTCCAAAACCCCAGATTTGTGCGTTTTTGTAACATTTCCTCCGAATGTTTGCTAGATATATGTACCGTTTATCGTTTAGAGATTACGTAATATTTTAAATAAGAAACCTTTGTTTGGATAAAGGTGGTTTCTTCAAACTGTCATTAATATGTTAACATTAAAAGTTGCTTACAAATAATGCTAATAATGGGAAATTTAAATGCTCTTTAGGATCCAAAAGACACGCCTCCTCCAACTCGAGTGGAAACAAGAGAAGAACGTTTAGAAAGGAGACGCAGGGAGAGGGCCGAGCAAGTAGCGTACAAACTTGAACAAGAGATAGCATTGTGTAAGTAGCTTGAATTTTACTTTATGTAAGCTTACTTCTGTAGACAGACAGTGCTAACTCTTAAAAAAAAAATTGACCACTAATGAGAAAAGTTGAGGGAGGACTAGCCTAACAAATTATTGGTCAATGAGGTGAGTCAATTTTAGAGTGGTCCATAGTTTGATCCTTTTGAAAGGACTTCTTGAAAAATGGTTGTGCGGTGATCCAAAAAATTCATCAAAAGTAATTAAAAAATATGTCTACCGGTAATATCATTTGAGTTGGTATATTGAACATTCTGTTGACTCACAAGACGCTATACGTAAAGTATGGTAAACGGTGATCGATATCGATTGACTGTTAAATGCAGTCTTTGTGAATTTTAAAATGCATTGATTATCCTCTAAATGCAGCCGTAATTGGCAGCTAAGAAAACTGGCCTTAAGTATCAAACACTTAACAAGATATACATGAATGAATGAATGAATGAATAAAGTGCTTTATTTTAAAATAAACATTCCCCTCATAAACATAATCAAACACTTAATAAACAATGGTCTACGACCGTCTGTTTGGTTGACACACCTGGAAAACACATTTATGAAAATGAAGTTGAAACAAAATACACTTAATAACATACACAAATGTACAATTTTACATCCATTTTTAAACTAAACTTAAAAAAAAAACCTTTTTCATAATATTGTTTACATAACTTGTATTATTTTACTTTTAAAATTATTAGGTTTTAAAAGGTTTACGCATAATGAAATCTATAAAAATTACTATGAATATTCAAGAAGACAGGCTGACAATTTATTTGACATATTTATTGTTTTGCTATAATTTATAAATTAGAAAGAGAAAAAAACAATTTTGAATTTGGAAAAAAAAACTTCACTTGATTTATTCGTAATTAAATTCTCTAATTTAAGAAGCTTCTGACTTACAAGATATACATGATATATATGATGAGTTTTTAGAACAAGAAACATATTTAAACTTAACTTATTTGGTGAGCAATGTGGTTTTAAAAGCATTTGTAACTTACAGGCTGATTATTAGCCCTTTGGTTTTTTTGTTGGTAGCCAATTTTTAACGCCCATTTTTTCGACTAGAATATAAAAATTGTATTTAGACTTGTGAATCCATCCATTTTATCGGTAGGATGTTATATCTCATATTAATTTTCCAGGGGACCCTCACAATAACAGCATAGCCACTCTTGACCCGTTCAAGACACTGTTCGTAGCAAGAATTGTAAGTATTTCCTAACTGAAAACATTTAAAATTTGTAACATTGAGAATTATGTTTACAGTACTCAATGGAATATTTTAGATGGAGTAGGTCTAGGAGGTATTTGGTTTAGTACAAAGAAATTGTCAAGAGCTCCATCCTCCTTATACTCATAGAATTTGAAAACTAGCTTGCATTGCGGCGAGAAGAGCTCGATGGAGACATTAATTTACAGAGAGCCCTCATAAAAGTCTTTATCGAATTAGTAAATTTATAAACTTGTTGAATATATATCCACAAACCAGCAATCTACCTTAATTGTCATTGGCTTGTCCTCTATTAGAATGGCATTGAACTAACCACAGTGTTTGGAACAAAATGTGTATCAGTATCAGTAAACAATATGTGTAGAATGATAATGCTATGTACTGAAATGTTTGTCTTGTTTCCAGAACTATGATACGTCTGAATCCAAACTCCGCAGAGAATTTGAGATGTATGGAGCCATTAAGAAAGTAAGTTAGGTAGATTTTCATTTTCAAATATGCCACTGATAAAATTATATATTTCCATCTCCATGTTAAAGATTTCAGAAGTAATTCAAACATAACTAGTTGAACCGAGCTTCCGACGGATTGCGCTGATGTAATGGCTGATTTCTGTCGAATAGGCCATCTTTTTAATCACTGCATGTCAAATTTATAAAACGATATATTGTAGGCTAAGTTATAGAACACAACATACACACTTCAACTATCCTGGTGACAAAATACCCCTGCTGAAGCAAACCTGCAGACAAAACTATTTTCCATTTTTGCCTGATTGTATTTTTACTGAAATATTCGCTTAAACATTTTATATTTATCCCCACTTAAATAACACTAGGTTTTGAGTTCCTTGGTGTAAATCTGAGAGCTTTTTAGTCTACATATGATATTACAAATTTAACTTGGTGTTCTAGAACATAATACAATGTTCATAGACCTAGATCAAGATTGTGGTTGTAGCTTCGTCTCCTTGGTAAATTCCCAAATAAAGCTCATTGGTGTAACTTGTTTCAGATCGTCATGATCCACAACACCGTCAACGGGAAGCCGAGAGGCTATGCGTTTGTTGAGTATGAACACGAGCGTGACATGCACTGTGAGTAACTCCGAAATCAACTTGACTTGTTGCGAGTGGGGGGCAATTTTTTCTCACTTTTGCTTAGCTAATATTTTGGTTTTCTTGTTCTGGGTCCAGTATGTGGGAGGAGGAGTCACAATTCTCTGTCAAATGTCTGAAACAGTACCATTCCTGGCTAAATAGGTTTGTATGTCTGGTAAGACCCAACATACAAATTCTCTATGAGGTTATTCCAGGTTTACCTCCCTCGTTTTTGTGCTTTTAAACTGAAAACGCAGAATTTACCTCAATAGGGCCATTTCTACTGGATATTTTTATGGTTACTGATTTGAAATTGATAAATTTAAAACTCAGCGAAATTAAGTGGGCAGTTAAGAAAGTTTTCTTTTTCTAAAAAAATTTAATTTAATTTTAAATTTAATTCCAGACTTCAGTTTTTAATATCCGTAAAATATTTTTGGGTGTTTGATTTGCACTTAGGACGTATTGAAAACTTGAAAATTAGAATTAAAGTTTAAATCATTTACTTGAGTTGCCTGGTTTTCAAACATATTGGTAGGTGTGCTTTTAGGTAAATGAACACTGTAATTAAAGAAAAAAAAAACAATTTTATTTTTAGATGAAAAATATCTTAGTTTGTAAAGAGTATGAAATTACATATTTAAAGTATTATACTTTACGTAAGATTGTTTTAAATATACTGTAAATCACATAGTAAGTATTCATACTTGACTAAGCATTTGAGTGTGAATTAATACCATTTTAATCTTCTAGTTCTGAGAAAAATCAAGCTGAATACAAATACTAATGCATTTTGCAAATTCTAAGTTTTAAAATTCTGATTGTATTTTATTGATTGTGTTCATGCCTTTGGAAATGAGCTGAAATCCATAAAAAAATTAATTAAAAAGTGTTGCTGTGTTTATAGATATACAATACATTTTAATTGTTTAACATTTAATTTTGATTTCACAGCTTTATTTTTGGCTCTGTGATACTGAATTGACTGGTCATCTTCACAAATGGACATTATGTAAACAGGCCATCTTTGTTCAATAAGTGAAACTGTATTTCTCATTAAATAATGGTTTTCTGCTCACATCCAAAAGCTTGTTTGTTAAAATTGTAAAATGAACTATTTACATGCGGTAAATAATATTGTTCTCAACTAATAAAAATCAAAATCAATTTTCCACTATTGATGTATAATTGCTGCAAAGATTAAAGATTTGATTAAAGATTGCAAAGATTGCATAGGGTTACCCAAATTAACTCAAACACTAAAATAATGGTGTGATTGGTCTTAGTATATATATTTTTTGAACAAAAAGGTTTTGCATGTAAATTTAAAATTATGCCTAGACATAACAATAGTTTTGTTCTATACTGTACTGTTTTTTACTGTAGGCCTTCGGTAGAATTCCAATTATCTGAACCGCAACTATGTGAGTAGCTGATTTTCTTAATCACTTACAGAGAGAATTTTAAAAACTATAGTAATAAGAATCGTTATTAAAGAAAGGCAGAAGCTCTGATCGCAGCAAAATCCTAAACATCTCCCGCGGTCGTGTAGGTATCACCATCGTAGCTGTGTGGTTATAGTGCTCACCTAACAATCAAGAGGTCGCTGGTTCGATCCTGATTGTCTGTAACTTTTTGATGGTTCAAAACTGGACCTAGCTGTCTCTGATCATTGGGCTTTAAATAAACTAGCTGTTACCCACGGGCTCCACCCCGTTTTACTACATTAGTATTAATAAAACTATTGATTGGTTAAGTTAAGATGAAATAAACAAAACAGAATACAGTAATGGTAATTGGTAATACAAACAAATAATAACAGCTGAGGTATTTTTAACATTAGGTAAATGGAAAGTTCCCTTTGGAAAGCAATTACGACCTTATAGGGCAATTTATGAAATAATGGATAATTTTGCGCAAGGTTTCTCGTCATGACGAACATTTTAAGTATATGGTTTATGGGGGTGTGACTTGTAGTTTTCTCAAAAGTTCATGGGTACTTTTGGCTTTATATATAGATGATCCTGGCCAATGAAACAGCTGATCTTCTATTCTACACTTATCCTTCACTCATATTTGAGTTAAAATATGCACCTAGGTGGCGTCCCCATCTAATAATAATAATTATAACTTGAACATCTTTCAAAGTCTTCTAGCCATTATCATCGTCTGTCGAGGTCCGGGAAAATCATCATCGTGGTAAAAACGTGAATTTATCAATTGCGAAATCTTTGCAGACACATTTCTAGATCCTGGAAGGAAAAGCTCTGCTTTTTTCTATCATTTCCCGCGTAAAAATAAAACTCTGTTGCATAGTAAAAATTTGACCATCAAAATTTGTTATAATCTGATAGTGGTTTGGTCCCAATTGATTTGGATAATTGGAGTTCTACTGTAATTCCATTATGGTAAGTTTCTCAGAAATGGTTTGGGAATATTTTCAATTGGAATAAAGGTGAAAGTTGGAAGTTAGACTTTAAACAACCATCAATATTTATAGATTTAATTAACTCACAGAAGGAATAATTTAATTTGCCAAACGATCTTTTGAATCAATGAAAAATATATATACACACATAGGAGTAAGTATGGAGTATGGATTGGCATACCTTTGAAAATTTGTAAGTAGATGAGTAGTTTTGTAAGCCTGTCAGGTAAGACATGAAACAAGTGATTTTAATTGTGGTAAGATGAGCTTAAAGGGTTCATATTAAATAGCTTCATCAAGGTATAAGAAATGTACAGGTAACAAATTTTTCATGTAAGCTTTTTGAAGTTAAGTTGTATTAATCTTACTTAGCCTTATTGAAGTGTAAAAGTGTTGCAACTTTGGATAGAGAAGAGGAAACCAAAAGGTTGAACGGAGCATTAGATATCCCAGCTGTAAGATGGTATAATGAGGATGGTAATCGAGTGGAGTTTTATTATTTTGTAGCATTAAATATCTATACGTTATGTACACGTTATGCTACACTGAAAATTACATGGTGTAAATGACCTATTATGAAACTTGAGTAGTTCTGTAGAAGCAAAATGTTGTTTCCAAGGGTTTAAAATTTAAATGGTCATCAACATTTTTTAATTTCTTTATCTACAGCTTGACAAACCATCTTGAGCAATGTACCATTTGACCTCTATGAGAGCATTTTTTTATCTTATTCAGTAATAATTGATTAAATATTTGGAAACTTTTTAAATTCATCATAATTTTTATGATTTTGGATCATGCAAAGAGTCTTTCCAGAGCATAATTCAATAAGAGTTTGTCTTTAAAAAAAATTGAAACAGGTAAAAATTATTTTTAATTATGTTATTGTGGGTAATAATTTACTAGTTAATTTTCACATGCTTACTGTTGAAAAGAATAAACAAGGAGGCCCTAAAATGTGGCAAGAAGTAAGCTCATAGTAAGCACACAAACTAAGGGGCTCCAGCCGGAGCCGTCCGCCAGGGGCTCTGGTGGCAAGAACAGAAAACGGATGCAACTAAAATATGAGACCGGCACAACAGGCTGACATAGTTAAGTCAATCCCTAAAAAAAGCTGAGTTCACTGTAGACCAATATTTTATAAATCTATAAGCCTACTGTGACTCCGACAGGAGTCGTACGCACCCTGTGCCAGTATGGCATGACATGAATTGCAGTAGCTAGCAGAGAACAAGTTTATGAAGCAAATATCATCACGAGTGATTTAATACTAGTCCAGTTACTTTGAAGGCATAATTGGAAAATTTTCAAAACTTTTACCATTGTCGTTATTACATAAAATGGTAAGTTTGATCGTATGTAAACATTTGAAACACAATTATTGGGCTGGTAAGTTTGGTTTAACATATCAAATGCTTTAACAATCACTGTTTGTACTGGGTCCCTATTATGTAATATTACTAATATCTGCGATCACTTAAATTAAATGGGATGATTTAAATTGAAGGTCGTAGTTTTTAACAGTTTTGGTAGTTTAGCATTCATGGATCTTATACACCTGTACAAAAATGAAGCTATGAGCTTTTGGTATTCTCATCATGTCTGAATAATTCCAATTATACGTATGAGGAAATTTTGGTAAGTCACAAAGAATTCCAAGAGGACCACAGATGAAGAGGTAAACATGGACCAGGGCTTAAAAAAGAAAGAAGTTTAAGAACACTACAAATGTTGTTAAGAATTTATGGTTGAAGCTATACAGTAATATTGTTTTAAAATTATTGTTGATAATTGAGGACCAGAGAGAAAAGGAAAAGAATCATTTTAGTTAGGCCAATTGAAGGTATAAACCACCAATACTCGTAGGAGTTGAGGGATGAAGATCTACATTGAATTGAAACAGGAAAGGTAGTATGTCTAAGGTACACAAGTATTTAAGGGTTTGGTAAGTGTTAAATGAGGAAGATGAGATAATATCGATGAATGGTAAGGAAGACAGGATGCTCAAGAAGAGATTTCACTCATAAGAAGACCATTCAACAATCATCATCCTAGGGAGTTTACTATTTAACAAGGAAACAGGTAGAAAACGATAAATGAATCTATTGTATGTTGTATAATGTAGAAAATCAATGGTTTTGAAAAATCAAATCTGATAGTTAAGGATGTGGGTTGAAGTAAAGAATGCACAATTTTAGCTGGTTTAACTCGAGCAAAGCTTTAACTAACTAAAGAAGTTATCACAATAGAGCGTAAGTGGTATAACTGAATGGTAATAGTAGTTTACGCCATGATCGTGTAAGGATAGTCTTTACGACACAAGTAGAAAATTTAACGTACCAGCCTTGGAGCCTTGGAGTGGGCTTTGGCTTTTTGAACGCGGGTGCCTTTGAAACTTCTACGAGTGTCGTAAAGGCTAATTACGTGAGTTGCTTAATCTACTTTTCCCTACGACCGTTTTTTAATTACTAAAAAATAAAAATCACTACTGATAACTTCTAAGAGAGGTTATGTTTTTGTTTATAACCTCTCATTGCCACTGATTGTGATGCAACGACTTATTGTCCCAACCACTCACTCATTGTTTAATCAATTAAATTGTTTATACAACTGATAAATTGAAGTTCAATCAAAGTATTACTATTTAAATTTTTTCTCTCAATTTTTAAACCTCATTGGTACTATTTTGTACTGTATTGTATTACTATAAAGTAAGTAAACAATACTGTAAAGTGAATCTTTTCAATTTTTAGAACTGAATTGAAAAAGCTAGTTTAAGAAACGGTCGTAGGTCAAGTAAATGTATGACTCACATTTAAGCTCTCTTTAATATGGCAGATCAAATAAATATTGATTATCGTAATGTAAAGAAACATTATTAAACTGTCAAATTGTTTGCTTAGTTGATGTTTGATGAATTTCAAGAGTCGTCATGTTAATTTATTGTCAAAACTAATAATGGTTTTCCTTTTTCTTGTAAACCGTATGTGTATATATTTTTTGGTGAATTAATTGAATAATTAATCATTTTCTTTGACCTACCATATTTCTTTATTAACAATTAATTAATTGTGATGTCATCACAAAGTCGAAGTTAGCCCAAGAATATTGTAAGTGGTTTTAGTCTAAGCCTAGAATAATAGTATTACAGAACAGAATACATATACAAATGCTAGATAACTATTGTAATATAGTTAAACTATTTATTGTTGGTTGGAACCAACCAAAGGTGTGTATGGTTGTTAGCAATACAAGAAAACATTATTTAGTTCAAAAAGAAAATATTGAAAAGATTATCATAAACATATATAAGAGTGAAACTAGTGTTTTTACGTTCACATTTCTTTAAATAACATGGGATTCTGAATGAAATAAGAAAGTTGGATGAGCAAAAGAAATTTTACTGGTAAATCTTTATTTTATACAGGGTGAATAAAAAGTCAAGACCCCCCCCTCTGATATTTTTCCAAGTAAATATACAGAGATATCCTTTTGGTGGTCGAGCAATGTTAGCAGGAAGTTTCATTTTATCATTTTTCATTTTTGAGGGTCCCCCCAAAAGGGGGGATTTGGGGGGCAACTCAAATATTTTAAATGTAAACCCCCTTCAAGTGACACCTCATTTTGAAGTGTTTACAAAAACTTAAAGAATGGTGAAAACTAGAGGTCACTATCTCTTCTCTATCCAAAATGGTAGCCCGTCAAATGTTGTGGAAAATCAATGGTAAAATTGTTAATATTGGCTGCCATTTTGGATAGAAAAGAGATAGCGAGCTCTGGTTTTCACCATTCTTTAAGTTTGTTTAAACACTTCAAAATGAGGTGTGACTTGATGGGTTTCTATTGAAACATTTTTAGTTGTCCCCCGATCCCCCCTTTTGGGGAACACTCAAAAATTTTAAATGTAAACCCCCTTCAAGTGACACCTCATTTTGAAGTGTTTACAAAAACTTAAAGAATGGTGGAAACCAGAGCTTGCTATCTCTTCTCTATCCAAAATGGCAGCCAATATTAACAATTTTACCGTTGATTTTCCACAACATTTGACGGGCTACCATTTTGGATAGAGAAGAGATAGCGACCTCTAGTTTTCACCATTCTTTAAGTTTTTGTAAACACTTCAAAATGAGGTGTCACTTGAAGGGGGTTTACATTTAAAATATTTGAGTTGCCCCCCAAATACCCCCTTTTGGGGGGCCACTCAAAAGTTTCAAAATGATAAAATGAAACTTCCTGCTAAGATTGCTCGACCACCAAAAGGATATCTCTGTATATTTACTTGGAAAAATATTAGAGGGGGGGGGGGGTCTTGACTTTTTATTCACCCTGTATTTATTCCTATTAAAATAGTTTAAAAGTAGAACTAGCATTTTTGTGATTTCTTTATTAATCTGTTTGTTTGAAATTTCAATAATGCCAAAGTACTGCTAAACTAACTAAAGTCTTTTTCCAAAACAGATTTTAAAATCAGTTGAAGATGAGTTAAAAGGTCATTTTACAACTATTATCATTATGTCCAATCAATTTCTATTTTTTAATCACAGTTTTTTAAGTAATTTTCCCATGATTTTCTTTGAGTCATGAGAGTTTATTTCCTATAACTTTCTGAGCAAATCAGAAGATAAATTCAATACTTTGTCAAATAAACCCAATAGAGTCAAGATCCAACATGTTAATAGAAAATATACATCAAAATCCTCTAACCATCTGCAATGCATTTAATAGCCAACCTATAAAGATAATGCCATTAAGTGTAGAATAAAAATTAAAAATATTCCAATCAAATATTTTCTTCCAAAATCTATTTTACTTAGTAATGTAAAACTATCACTTTGAATAATATGGTTTGCGCTTGACGTAAGTAAATGCGCACCAGGTAAAAATATTAACTGAAGTGGACCCGAGTGGACCGTAGACCGTATTGCTAGCATTGAATATGTTGCCTTTCCGTTAATGTAAGTACATACTTGTGCGGTAGGTACTCAATTTGATACTAGTATACAGTATTTGAATAATGGATGTATCCATTTGTATTGAAGCTAAGCAGATGCATATATGTTGCATGGAAATCATAATAGATCGTGAGATTTGTTCAAATTCCCCTTCCTAATAGCTCAAATATAATATTTACTACTCTTAATCAACACCTAAGGGATGTACACTATTCTTCATATAGGTTCTTTACAAAAGTAACATTTTTTTAACATAGCTTTAATTTGAAATGCTTATTACCTTTTGTAGGAAAATTTTGCTGTATGAATTTTACCTGGCTTTAGTTAGCCTAATTTTTCTGTTAAAAATTGCATATGAAATGCGTTTTTTTTATTTAAGTATCCATTGCATGCTATTTCCTTACTGAAAATTTGTTTCCTTGGGACAATTCATGTTCAGTTTCAAGCTTCAAAAACACTTTTCTTTCCCCGATCGTATTCACCATTCCATCGGTTAAGTATTAAATACAAATAAAAGCCAAATAGGTTATGTTGGGTGGTGAACGAGGAGAGGTTTGTATACCAGGTTTGTATGGTCTCCATTGCGGACGCTAGTTACAATGTGTAATGTTGGTAATGTGTTGGTTTGCAGCTGCTTACAAACACGCTGATGGCAAGAAGATCGACGGACGCAGAGTGTTGGTGGATGTTGAGCGGGGACGGACCGTCAAGGGATGGATGCCACGAAGACTCGGTAAAACTATTTCTCTACGTTATTTTAGGTCTTGGTCATTATCAGGGGCATCGGACAATTATTGATCTGTTGCACTGTCAAAAAGAAGACTCAAACCAAACACATCTATAAAATCTTCTAACAAACTTGATTTTGTTGTTGTGCCTATTATTGCACCATTATTGGGTTTTATTAACGTTTTTGAAAGGGGAAGGTTCAAACCCAGGTTTTGTTAGTATCTAACGTCGACCATTTTGTTAGAAAGCATAATTAATTCACAGCCCAATGACAAATGACATCCGGGTCTGGTAACGATCTCAGTTGGAATCAAACCAGCGACCTTCATATTTGAAGGCAAGCACTGTAACCACTCTGCTTTCCAGGCAAGTTTTGAAACAAAGTTATTAGCATTAAGTATTGTTGTGTACTAATTTTTTGTAGATTCTTAAACCAAAATATTATTGTTGCCACACTACTCTGTCCAGAAAATTCCATTATTCTGAACTCCTCATTTCATAAGCTTAATTAATTATCAATGTAACAAACTTTAAACTAAACTTAACCCTACAGAAAAAATTACAAAACAAGTTTATTATTTAAGAGTCTAATATTATATTTGCTGTCAGTGGTTACAAATGAAAACATAAGCTATCAGATAAGTTGTGAGTTTAATAGTGATTGTTAATGTCAACTTAATTAGAGTAGGGCAGAATGGCAAAAATATTGTACATGTACACCACTTGTCCAAACTTGTTTACCGTACTTGTATGTTAATCCTGCCATAATTGTTTGGTAAACCTATTTCCCGGACAAGTATAATATTTCAGCTTCATTATGGCTTTATATCTTTTACTAATCCTTAACTTTTTGTGTCTCAGGTGGAGGACTTGGAGGTACGAGACGAGGCGGGCCGGAGGTGAACTTGAAGCACTCTGGACGTGAAGACAACGAGCGAGAGAGAGAGCGCTATCGTCTGGAGAGGGAGAGGGAAGCTGCCGGAGAGAGAGGTGGGAGGGACCGAGAGAGGGACAGAGAGAGGGAACCTCGCAGACGATCTCGCAGCAGAGAGCGTGAACGTGAGAAGAGGCGCAAGTCTCGCAGGTGAGAAACTACACTGTTAGTGGATTGGTGATTTGACGTCTCAGTGATCGGTTATCATCTGTTGACTCTACTGAGTATGATTAATTAATTGAGACCCAACCCAAAAATCTCACTGAGCCAGTTAAAACCAAACATTGCGTGAATCTGCTAGTACACAAGAATCTGTCACTGAGTTTTTTAAGTTTTTCTTGTCATTTTTCTTCCATCCCCTCATCTGGCCCAGCCTGCCAGTCAGTGACGGCAGCGCACCTATATTCTGTTGTAGACAACAGATTCAAACGCTATGTTTTTACTGGCTCAGTGAGGGTTTTGATTAGATATGTATTCTTTGGTAAAACACACAACAAAGCCACACAAACAAAACCTGTAGTCCAGCTCTGCAAGGATACTGTTCCCAATTAGTGTAGATCAGCTGGACTCTGGTGCCACGGTGTCTTCTGCTTACCACTGGCTTGAAAACACTAACCTAGGATTCATAGTGACTGGTTGTTTATTTGCAGCCGATCACGAGACAAGAGACGCAGACGCAGCAGGGACCGCGTCAAGGACGCTGATGTGGAGGAAGTGGAGGAGTTTGTGGAGAAACCGAGGAGAGAGAGAGACCGAGACCGCGGTGACCGAGGCGATCGAGGCGACAGAGGTGACCGAGGCGAGCGTGGTGAGCGTGGTGAGCGAGACAGGGAACGCAAGAGACGCAGGAGTCATTCCAGAGACAGGGAGAGGAAGCGAGAACGGAGAGAGAGGGAGAAACGTGAAAGAGACCCCGACTATGAGGAGAAAGTTAGGATCAAGCAGGAACCTATAGATGGTGAGTGATGTAAAGTAATATGTACTGTGATTTGATTACCCACGTAATGTGTACTTTGATTATCCACGTCTATAACTATGTCAATAGTGTTTCTGTAGAAAAGTATTGAGATAGTGGAGCAGATAAAAAAGGGGAAAAAAATAAATGGAGTTTAGCTAGATTATATCCGGTTTTGGAAATGTAACGAGATCTGACATTTAAAAGAACCGTGAGGCTATTACAAATTTTCGTATGTGCTTGACATTGAAGACAAGAGTTTACATGGATTACCAAGTAAGTGACACAAAACGGGTAAAAATTACATGTAAAAATAATTTTAAATGTCATAGTAGTAAAAATAGTCTAAATTAGTTTTCAATTGCTAAATACACAAAATCCCGTATTGTTTAGGATATATACTCTCTACTCCTATGTAGATATTCTATTCATACCAACGACTGTTGAAGGATTGACGTGGGTTTTGTTACAGACTATCCAGATTACAGCAACAACTACGACGAGCCGGACTTTGAGGAAGGAAACGTCAAGTACGAGAAGACAGAGGAAGAACGAGAGAGACAAGTTGCCAGTGACATTCCCGCCAACGATGAACACAACGGCCGCGGCAACTACGAGTATGAGGTTCAAGACTATTGAACACGTATTGGAAATATTTTAAACGTTTTTTAACTCATAAGTTATGACTAGATTGAATACGCTGATTATAATTTTAGTGTGAAATCATCATTAACAGTAAACATTTGCAATTATTTGGCTTCATATTTTCTATACCTTTACCTTTAAGTAGCGTTTTTTAAATGTTACAAGACTTGTAACACTTAGTGTTTTAAATAAATGTCAGGGATTTCATATTTTGAAATGTAATTGAAATTGTTTAGCCCGTTTTTTAAGAAAGTAAATAAACAATATGTCATTAACACTAGAAACATAGTAACTATACTATTCAGTTGACTCACAAGATGGTTAACATTATAAAGATGGTGAGTGGTGTTTAATTTTGATTGCACACTCCCAGGTCAGATTCAGTAGGCAAATGTCCAAAAGTTTGATTAGACATATTTTTATTTACTTTTAGTTTTTTTAGGGAAAGCTTTAGGGTTTTAAAAAGTCGTTAAAGATACCACAGACAAGTTACTCGTCCTAGTTGTGAATGGAAAAAAAAATAACATGATGAATTAAATTATTGACATTAAATTTTCCTAGGAGATTTATCTTATTAGAAATACTATTATTTATTAGGTTTCTAAATAAACTGTTTTATTGGCATAACTCCGTAACTTTGCGACAACAAATGTTGAGTTTCAACCCATTGACACAGTGTCATGAGTGTTGCTAGTCACAGCATTGCACGGTAAGGTCGTCTGTAGCAGCCATACTGGCGTTTAGTTTGTTGAGTCTAACCTGCGAACAACAGTGTGGACGTGAGATTATTGCGGAACTTGGCCTGACCAGTTGATGGTGACATGGCTCAGGCGTTGTAGTGATGAGTCAACGATCACATAAGACCAATAGATGGAGCATGTTGGCCGCGACGTGAAGCCAGTATTTTTCACTAATCTTTACTAAGATGGCGGCTGCCAGCTGTGATGAGCTCTATTAGCGGGCGCAACTAATTAAATGTTAGTTTACTTTATATCAATGATATCCTTCACAATACGCCTTTGTATTATAAATATTTCTATTACTAACACAATGACCTTCAAAATACGCTTTTAATTTGTTTTATAGCGTTTACCGTTTCTTAAAAAAAGTTAGTTTACATAATTAACAACAACTTTTGGGCAAAAGAAAAATTCTAAAATGCTACAAATTAATTTATAATATATGTATCTATATCGTATTGAAGTTTGATAAAGTTCTGGCAATGGTTTACAATGTATGAATTTTCAAAGTCACAAGATATACTCTTTATAGATGAGTGAACGAATCTATGTATCGTGTATAGCGGAGTCGGAGAAAAGTTGTCTGTGAGTGAGTGTGTGTGTTTGCAACAAAACTCAAGAACCGTCGCACTTTATAGCGTTCAAATTTTGCACAATTAATTATGACACCAGTGGGAAGACCCCATTAAAATTCTAGACGATTCCGATCAGTAGTAATTATAAAACCCTTAAAAAACTTTTTTAAATTCGTCCCATAAGAATAACATTAGAAGCTACCTTCTTCCTAGGAGGATTAAACATTAAGGAGAGGGCACGCGAATAGGAATACACGTGTTGCGGTGAAGCCAGCTTTAGCAGAACACTAGAGGGGCACGCGGAGCCGTAGAGTGGCAAAAAGCCTCGGCTATAACATGGGAGAGATAGGGAAAAACGCGACGCGCGCTGTTTCGAATTAAAATTGCCGCTAAACTAAAACACCTGTGTTATTCACCGATGGCATTCTTAAAGTAAATTAAATTTCCTATCGAACAGTGTCAATCATTCCTATAAAAAATATTATTTATTATTTATTATTGAAGATCAAAGTTGAAAGAATTGACCTGGACTTTGAACATATGATTACTTTAATTACGTTTTTGAAAAAAATATGATGTATCTACACAAATTAACAATTTATTCGTGTTCCTTAAGAGTTTCTCGAAATAAAAAATATATATTTACCTATATTTAAAAGTGGTATTTGGAAAAATAATTACAATAAAGTTTTTTTTAGTTTTTCCAGTTTATAAAACAATCTTACTAATAATAGGTTAAAATCAAAATTTTAATTCGGGTGATGAAATACATTTTAAATTTGCATTTTTCATAGTTTTTTTGATTTGTTAATATAATTTTTTACTAGTTTTAAGTCATTTATGTGCTAGGCAGGTGATTTTAAATAGCCAAAGTTAAGAAAAAATGCAAAGCCGCTCTAACTTTTATTACACCAACAGCCGTTACAATTAAATTACAATCATAAAAAGTAAAACAATTTTTTGGCAATCAAATTCTTGATTTTTTAAATATCGTATTGAACTATATTTGATCTGTTTACCTAAAGAAACTTTGAGTAAAAAGTGTAAATGTTCAACAATCATCGCGTCTTCTGACCGCCAAAGTGCGTTTATCATTCTTTTAAAGGATTAAAACTTATTTTATTTCTTTTTAAGAAAATGTTCAAATACACATACAGTACTACTCATGATTTGAGTTTTAATTTATGAACAGTAAAATCCATTGGTGATATGGCGGGATTTGAACCCGGGACCCCATGAACCGGAGTCCCGCGCTCTGGTTAGAGTATTATAAATAATACACAATACAAGTATGGCAAAAAATAAAAACAAGGACAACGAATTCCAAAAAATAAGTCATCCTTGTGTAAATTACTCACCTTTGAACGTACTATTGGTTCATAAATATGACTTTCCTCTTATTAGGTTCCTATGGATAGAATTTAACTTTTTAATTTACGTAGCATTATGAAGTCTAATTTTTAAATAGTTAATTGATATTTCTGTTACCAAATCTTCCAGTAACGCATACAACGCAGTATGAGAGGGGGCGGGAGAGTAGCGCTGCCTCCCCCCTCCCCAGTACGCTGACTTCAACGAAACTACAGCGTGTCCTCTCCTTAATGTTTAATCCTCCTAGCCTTCTTCTTCTTTTTATTTGTTTACGTTTTGCGACCAACAATTTTGTTGTCTACTCTAAGACAGAGAGAACGACTTTTACTATATGCTCTCTCATTCATGGAGTAAACAGTTTTGGCATCTATGAATATATATCATTATAATTTTTCAACTTTCAGAATAATAAATTGAACTTTACATTTTTAGTCGGCAGTTATGTACCGTTTATGATCAGTATTAAAATTCACCTTTAAATTAAAAATGTATATGTATATATTTAGAACTAAGCAGCTTTTTACATTATCCAATTTAATGTTGGCATTGAATATTAAATATTCAAAGATGTTAGTATATATTTTATACTAAAATGCTATGCGAGGGGGGGGGGGAACAGGTCCACGACGTAGGGATTGGTAAAGGAAGTAGTCGAGGCGAGCAGTGCGGAGTGTGAAAACCCTTTGTGACAGTTAAATTAATATATCTGTAATTCTTTGATGCTATGGCAAGAGAGGGAAACAGGTCTATGATGTAGGAAGTAGTCAAGGCGAGCGCTCCGGAGTGTGGGAACCCTTTGTGACAGTTAGATTAATGTATCTGCAATTCTAAAAATGCTATGGGAAGGGAGAGAAATAGGTCCACGATGTAAAAAGTGGTGAAAGAAGTAGTCAAGGCTCCAAGGAAAGCAGTCCGGAGTGTGGGAATCCTTTGTGACAGTTAGATTAATGTATCTGCAATTCTTAAATGCTATGGGAAGGGAGGGAAACCGGTCCAAGACATAGGAAGTGGTGAAGGAAGTAGTCGAGGCAAACATTCCGGAGTGTGGGAACCCTTTGTGGCAGTTAGATTAATGTATCTGCAATTCTTAAATGCTATGGGAAGGGAGGGAAACAGGTCCACGAAGTGGTGAGGAAGTAGTCAAAGCGAGCAGTCCGGAGTGTGGGAACCCTTTGTGACAGTTAGATTAATGTATCTGCAATTCTTAAATGCTATGGGAAGGGAGGGAAACCGGTCCAAGACATAGGAAGTGGTGAAGGAAGTAGTCGAGGCAAACATTCCGGAGTGTGGGAACCCTTTGTGGCAGTTAGAATAATGTATCTGCAATTCTAAAAATGCTATGGGAAGGGAGGGAAACAGGTCCACGAAGTGGTGAGGAAGTAGTCAAGGCGAGCAGTCCGGAGTGTGGGAACCCTTTGTGACAGTTAGATTAATGGCTCTGCAATAATAAAATGCTATAGAAAGGGAGGGAATCAGGTCCATAACGTAGGAAGTGGTGAAGGAAGTAGTCAAGGCAAGCAGTCCGGAGTGTGGGAACCTTTATGACAGTTAGGTTAATGTATCTGCAATAATAAAATGCTATGGGAAGGGAGGGAAATATGTCTACTATGTAGGAAGTGGTGAAGGAAGTAGGTAAGGCTAGCAGTCCGGAGTGTGGGAACCCTTTGTGACAGTTAGATTTATGTATCTGCAATGGAACTGTTGCAATACTAAAATGCTATGGAAAGGGTGGGAAACAGGTCCACGACGTAGGAAGTGGTAAAGGCGAGAAGTTCTGAGTGTGTGAACAGTTTGTGGTAGTTAGATTAATTTACATTCAATACTAAAATGCTGAGGGAAGGGAGGAAAACAGGTCCACGACGTAGGTAGTGGCGATGGAAGTGGTAAAGGCCAGCAGTGCGGAGTGTGGGAACCATTTATGGCATTTAGATTCATTAGTTAGATAAACATATATTGGATTTGTAATAATTTTTATGTGATAATAGCGCTATCGTTGTTATAAATCATCATTATAAGCCATGCGATATTTTTTAAGGAGACTCCTTACACTGTAGTTCAGTTTGGCTTAGTTTTGTTTATGATAGGCCTCATAACAAATAAGGAAACAGGCTTAATTTAATCAAAAGATGTTTTGTACAGGAACGATGGATTTACCTCCTACCGATAGTTGTTGGAAATCCATTACATATATTACCAATGACTTTGGTTAATTAATGGACGAGAGTTAGGATTGTTGTTGACTGAGATTTGGTTGATTTGCGCATACAAATAACGTGTTCACCAGTGACACCGGTAAGTAGGCTAGGTGCGGGTGGACTCTTTCATTATTGCGCTCATGTTCACTCATCCCGTTCGTTACGCGCAGAATAAGCGTACTACTAGTACAACTCTCCTTTATATTCTGACTGTCATATTATTTTT